AAAACAAATTAAAACTTCTAACTCAAATATTGCACTGTTTCTTTCCATTAATAGCCCTTCTTTGGGGAAAAAAATCCATAATTCAATGAGGGTCCAGTTCTGGGCCCCCCACCCCACTCTGGGCCCGGGACAACAGACCCGTTTGTCCCCCCCATCGGCGGGCGTGGCTACATGTACCATTTCTGTAGGTTGGAATAGTACCGAGCCTCCAGGTTAGCTGTGTGGAAACGAGATTTTAACCGGAACTGCACAGATTTTACACATCAAAGTCCATTTACAGGTCTTGGGGAGTACAGTTGTATGTGAAAAAAGCAATACAAAGCCTTTTATGATTGTAGATGCAGGTGCCATAAATTGCCTCAACAGATGTACCTTAAAGTAGCATCAGCTGGGGATGAAGTGCCTAGGCTGAAAACAGAAAAGAAACCTACGATTGTGGAGTTACAAAGAAGTGACCTTACCAGACGGCTGAGGCTACATTAGCTGCTAACACACCAGATTCAGTCAGTAGTTGAAATGAGGGCACCAGGTTTTTGATAAGGAAGCATATGAATACAATTTATTACAGGGCCCAAAAATATATAAGCTATATTTTTAGTTACATCAGTATAAAACCAGTTTACACACTTTGAGCATGGAGCTCTTGAGGCCTCAGGACAGTTGTCCCGTTTTCTAAGAACTTGTCTGTAGACCTGCTCTGTTTGCGAACTACAAAATGACCAGCGAGGACATCAGAATAATGCAAAATACTAAACTTTATTGTTAAAAATAAATCAACTTTACCACCTGAAGCCAGTACAATGTTTTTGCAGCTCACTTTATCTTGGAAATGATTCTGGTTGGTTGGAGGCTAATTGCCCATGCTGCTCTTTAACCTTTGTGGAACACCACTTGGATGCCTGTCCTAATAGCTGTTCAACAAGTCAATGTCTTCTGCAGAAAGAGCTGCTGAGCACAGTTGTTTTGCAGGAGGGCCATGATGCGAAGTGTCGTGCTTTTCTGGCTGATGCTTTCGCTTGTTGATATGGCACTGAGTCTTCACTTGATGATTTGTCATGGAAGGAATCTCCTCTTTTATGGGATTGTTTGGCGGTCTGTAGAAATGCAGTTTCCCATTGTTGGTCTCTTCCACATGCTCATGAATGAAAGGTGCTGCAATCAGTACTCCTCTGACAAACTTCTGCCTGCCAACTACAGAAAACACATTTAAAAAACATGTTATTGATTAAAGTAATTAGACCTTGCATTTAAAAAAAGGCTCTTTACAATGTAAATGTGATGAACTTACAAAAGCGAAGTGCTGATATTCTTGATTCTTCAATTTTCCTCTGTTTTGGCATTTGTGAGCTATTTGTTTCCCATTGATTTACAACCTGAAAATACAACAAACATAACTTTTTGACTCTGTCTACTTTAAAGAATATGTGTATACTTCTATCAGCATCTGAAAATATTTACCTGCTCTGCCCAACCTTCTGTTTTACATCTCGAGTGATCGAAGCTGTCCAGTGGTTTCTCAGAATGAATTAGCCCCAACAGCTTCCATATAGTTGTCTTCAACTCTGTGCCAAGCTGGACATATAAATTACATTTAGATGTCAGGACAACATTAGGGTGTCGTGAAGTGTTTTGTACAAACATTGCTGCCTCACCTTTAAACTTGTTCCTGATAGATCAAGTTTTACAAGTTTGGGGAGGCATGTGAGGTATCTGAGTGCTGTCTCTGAGATAGGGTTGTCTGTGTAAGAAAGACAATAACTCGTCAACAATTTTATAAAACACATCAGCTTGTGTATTCTTTTGATCTGGAGACAGTGATTCTGCCGCCACCACCATATGTAAGTAACCAATACTTTGGTAACTAACAGGAAAGATCCAGGAGCTGAAGGCGGTCCAGTCCCTTCCGCATCATCCGGATAGGTGCAGTCAGTCTTTGCAGGCCAGCATCTGACAGACTGTTAGCACCAATGAAAAGCTGAATCAGGCTGCTAAAAAAAAAGAAAAAGAAAAAGAAAGGCAGACCACTTAATTACAGGTTTTTGATGAGTTAAGTTCTCCTTAACTCATCTCTGGGACAAGAAGACTAGTACCTTGCCAAAGAGGTGGATGTTAGATGCTGGAATAGCTCGTGATTGTCGCCCAGTTTGCAGCCAAACAAATCCAGAGACCTCAAACTATGAAACGTTTTAATTGCATCAATCCTCTCATGCAGGAGTGCAAACCTGCAAAAAAAAAAAAAATGAAAGAGGAACAAGAAATGCTGCTGTTTGTGGCACAGAAAGCAGAGAAGGTGACATCTGTGGTGGCAACATAACTGACCTGTTTCGAAGACAGAGTGACCCAAGCACAATCTCTCCATATGCATCACTGAACAACTGCAGGGCTTTGGAAGAAACATCTGGGTTCAAGAATACACGATTCTCCTCTGCTGCTACAAAAAGTCTATCACCTATTTGCTCGGGGAAGTCGACCAGAGAGTCCACATGGTGAATGTTGTCGGCCACGAACAACAGAGTGATGTCAAAGAGAGATTTCGTGGAGTACCTCAGACTTCCCTCTTCATTGTAGTTGAATATGAAGTGCTCTTTCCTCAGCACAAACGGATCCGTCCTCCTGCACGATGACACCGGCTTTGGTTGTGCCAGGACTATGTCACTGACACGACGAAGGTTGCCTCTTTCTCGGACATAAACGGTGCTCTTGTCCAAAGAAAGGTCGCACATTTTCCCGTGAAAAAGGATAAAACTCCCGACTCAATTGCACATTTAGCTAGCAAACCGGGAAAACATCTGAGGCATAACAGAAAACTCCAAGTAGCTTACTAGCTAGCTCGTGAACAGGGTCGTTAACTGAGCTTAGACCTCGTTTAAAATGATCCCCAAGCTGTTAGGTCTGGTTAATTTACTATCCGCTATGTTTTCTCACAGTATTCCACATTTCACGGCAATTTCTTTCGCGTGTTCTTAACAAGTACATCGGTAAATTACACAAGTAACTCTGAGACTTCCAGCGCAACGCCTGCTTGCGGTATTAGCTTGCTAATTTCAAAGTAAAAGCTCAGGACTTTGCAGCAAACGTGAAATTCTAATAACAAGTGCCTTTCAGAGAACCTTAACAGAACGTTCTCCCTGCCCCTGTTTGCTGGGTTGTTTCAAGATCCCTGTGTACTGAAATTAATCACATGCAGCAGGAATTTCACTTGAAAAGGCTTTTTACAAACATCACAATTAGTCTCTCTTGACAGCGGCAGCCATAAGTACATAAAAATCAAACCCTTACTTTGAAAATGTTTTCGTCTTGTTTACATGTCTGGCATGTCCTGCTACAGACAGCTAACGTAGCTGACAGAGTGACATGATTTCTAAAAGTTTAGGAAGATAATTTGGTGAGCATACACTGTTTAAAGAAAATAACCAATGCCATATACTTGATTTTTATACATGACTCCATAGTCTTACTGTTTTTTGTCGTCATGCTATGTTCGATAGCTAATATCTAAGTAGTTGTTGGTAAGTAAGACCTTGGCAGCTAACTTAGCTAACTCATAACGTTGCGTCTTTTTACCGTTTTTCATCGCCAACCTTCTATTATATCAACACACAAAGGAAGGAGAGGCTATTAAAAGGTGTGGTTCTTTTCTTCACAGCTTTTCGAAGTCAGGTCGCTGACTGTGTGCAACGTCAACCTGCCGATAAGTTCTTGAGAGACAAACTTTGGAGGGAGTCCGTGTCAATGGCGGCGACAAATGATCCATTTCAGTTTCAGGGTGAGCGTTCTGCATAGTCTTTAGTGTATTTAAGAAATGACGTTGCTATTTGTCTTTATGTTTTCGCTAACTGCACGTCAGTCAGAGCTTGATTCATATTTTTCCATGCATCCATGTCTTGCAATCAGAATTTGATGAAGCTGGCAATCTGTTGGAAGCGAACAGAGATGCAACAACCATCAGCATGGAGGATGACGACACTGAGCCCCAGAAGCAAAGGAGTGCTGCAGGTTTCCCTCCTGATGCTGATAATGAGGACCCACTTGACACTGATGACACCACAGAGGTCAGGATGAGACGAGTACATGCTGAGAAATAGCCAGCTTATGTCAAGCTGAATAATCAAATATTCATTTGAATAATTTAGTGTTCCTAAAAATGTTCCTTTCTCCATTAAAGCTTCTCTCTGGGCAGAAGAAAAGTGCCCCTTTCTGGACGTTTGAGTACTACCAAAAGTTTTTTGACATCGAGACCCATCATGTAATATTTTTACAACTTATTTACTGACTTTTTACCACAATTTATAATGTAATATGGAGTGCTTCCCAACAAATGTTGCTTTGCTAAGCTTTATATTAGCTTTAATCATATGTGATGTTACTCACGTTTCTTTCAGGTGAAGGAGAGAATCTTTGGATCTGTGCTGCCATGGCCTGGAAGGAACTTTATTCATGTCTATCTTCGTAGAAATCCTGATCTTTATGGTTAGCACTTGTGTAGTTTATTGTCATAATTCTTTTTTTTTGTTGTTCAAACAAACTCTAAAATGCTGTGCTAAGAAACCAAATGTAGAAACAGGCTTAAGTTGTAATGCTGGATATTTGTGTTTTCAGGACCATTCTGGATTTGCACTACTTTTGTGTTTGCCGTTGCCATAAGTGGAAACATATCCAGCTTTTTGGTGCACTCAGGGAAGCCAGGCTATAAGTACACCCCAGAGTTTCAAAAAGGCAAGTGGCATTTTTCTTTGATACCGGTTTACATTCACTGTTAGAGGAAAACATACATTTCACTCTTTGGCTTTGCATTCCTTGTGTTTTCCAGTGACCATCGCAGCAACAGCAATCTTTAGCTATGCTTGGTTTGTGCCCCTTGGGCTCTGGAGTTTGCTGCTGTGGAGAAACAACAAGGTCATGAGCCTGGTGACATACTCCTTTATCGAGATCGTCTGTGTGTATGGATATTCTCTTTCCATTTACATCCCTGCAGTGGTAAGACCTGGAATTCTTTATTTAACATTAACAGCAATAATGAATAATGTCATTCACACTGACTTTTTATGTCACAGAGTACACATTTGTCTTTACATTTTTATAACATTCAGCTTTTTAAGTGTATAATATTTGGCATTTTGGAATAAAGCAGCTGAGCTGAAAACCTACTCTGACCCATTTTAAAAAATCTGCTCAGCAGCGTATAGCGGACATCAAAATACAAAAGTATTACTAAAGATAATAGTACTACAGCAGACATCATGTCAGCTCAGAAACCACAACATGAAATTGTTCAACAATTTTTAATGCAACATAAATAAATAAATGTTTCAATACACCCTGTCAGTTTCATTTCAAACACAGCACTGAATTATTTTGACTTAAATGAAATATTGTTACCTCTCATGACAATGTAATGTGTTTTGCTGTACAGTCTTGCAGTTGTTGAAAGTTGGTGAATACTTTTTTTTGGTATCATGATAACATTTAAAATGCTCATAATTGTAAGATTTCCATAAAATGTGATACATTTAGTTCTGTGTACTCCAGTAGCCAAGCAACCACATTTTGTTGCCAGATTCACGGTTGTGTTTTTGTGCAATGACAATAAAGAAAGTCTAAGTCTCTCTAACATAGCATACAGTATAATGCACTGTTTTTTGTTGTTTTTTTTAACTAAGGTCCTATCGATTATCCCATTTGACTGGGTGAGGTGGTGCTCTATTGTGGTGGCACTCTGCCTCTCTGGCTCAGTTCTGATGATGACGTTCTGGCCTGCAGTCAGGGAAGATCATCCCAAAATGATCATTGCAATCATGGCGGGCATTGTGATGCTCAACGCCCTACTCGCTATTGGTTGTAAGGTAATTGCATTTGCTTTTGTTTGCTGGTTTTACTCAGCTTAATTAAAAAAGTGACAGATATGGAAAATAAATCTGATTGGTAAAGTAAGACACAACATTCATTGTCCGACTTTGGCACACTGTGTCTGCACTAACCCAGTTAATTCCTGCTGTCTGTCGATCTTGGTGTAGATAACAATGATTGGCTCACTCTCATTTGTCCTCGGTGGTATCAGCATGGCCGAGCTTTGACCCAGGTTGTCTATGATCATCACGGACTACACTACATTACAGTGACATTTTTGCGTGTCTCTGCTTGTGTGTATCTGGGAAGTGATGTACCTTTATAGTGTCAAGTTAACTCCCTCTGGGGAGACTCTTCTCAATGGAAACTGTGACCGCCTTCGCCAACTCGTGTGAGAATGGGCACTTAGTGTCTTCTTAATGGGAATACTGTCAGGTCTGCAGGGTATCCTATGTCTCGTCACATTCATGTAATTAGTCTACAAAGTAAGCCCATGTCTGAAGGGTGACCAAGATGGATGGACTGCAGGAATTCTGTACTTTCTACTGTAACATGGAACATTTGCTGTGTACTTATTCACCGACAGCCTCGCTTTAGTCCTTGATTGTGTGGTAGCTTCTGTTAACAAGTCTCGCTGCAATGTTGGTGCTTCTTTGCCAGGGTCTTTGACACTATTTTAACTTGCTTACTTGTGCTTTTTTCAGATCTACTTTTTTGGCAAACCAATACAAGCTCCTGCAATTGATAGTCCTCCTGCAAACGAGTCCATCAAGGCGGCGTCTTCTACTTGAAAGCCTTGCATTGTCTGAAGGTACACAATAGTGACACAGAAGCTTTTTAAGCCGTGTTCCCATTGTACAAATACACTAATAACCTGATACATGTAAATTATATTTGTCCACCAGACTTTGCTAGTTAAGCCACTGGTCCACATTGCTGACCTAATTTAGTAGCTTTGGCTGGCGTGTGTGGTTTTGACCTGCTCGAGTTGAGCATCTGACACCGGACTTCCTCTACATGATTTCTCCTTCCCAAAGCAAGTGTTTTTCTGTTTTTCAAAAATTGCAGGTTCTCCAGTTGCCTTATTAGAGAGAATCGGGTTGCTCTGGTGATGAAGTCATTGCCTTCTGGATTTCACCTGTGCTTGGACATTCGGGCGTGCCACCTTAAAACCCAGTGTGTATTGCTGTGGAAAAACCGCTATTGGTCCAACTGCATGACCTCTTGAAAAGAACACTGGTACCAAGTATGTTATTTCTAATGGGATGGGTTCTAAACTTACTTAAAGACAAATGGGGTGTTGTATTACACAGCACACCAGATCTCTTTTAGTATGGTAGTTGTACGCTTTATCGTTCTCATGTTAAAATATTTAGATCACCAGTCTGTGCATTAATGGTAGTGGCATCAATGGCATTTTGTATATAAATTTTTCGTATACTTACAATGGGAACTGGTTTGTATACTTTGTATAGAATTTACTGAATTTACTGTATGAACTGCACAGCAATAATTGTTATTTGTAAGACATTTAGGACTTATTATGTATCCATAGAGCTGTTCTGTTTCCCTCCTTTGTAACCGTAAGTGCCGTGAGTTAATGCCAAAGACTCAGCTTACATTTTTAAGAGATTGTGTAACTATTGTTGATATTTGTTTTTATTATGACCAACTGCTTTTCCTTAAAATGTATGGAATTTATTAAGTCCATTCTCAGTGAGTGTTTCATGGAGAAAAATAAAAAGTGGTTATTGTTGAATACACTTTTATTAATGAATTCTTTCATTATGTATGAAAGTAATTATGATCTATTTACTGTCTGCATAGAGCCATATTTGAACTACAGATTCAACTTTATGAAGAGCACATTTTCAAACTGCCCTTTACTTTCATGGAAATAAATAGTTCGACATTTGAGGAAATATACATATCTTCTTTCTTCAATCAGCCACGTCTGAGATTGCTGTCAAGCTGTCCATGTTTCTGCTAAAACAAGAAATATTTTATGACTAAAATGTACATCAGCCTTGAAAAACAAAATTATAAAAATCTCAGAACAGAAATTTACTATGATCATTTTTATTTGGCTCTAGTGTTTTTTTTATTTGTAAAAACAACATGTCTACCTGAAACCATTCCAATGTTAACTAACTAAATAGGTGCATTCGATAAATGCTTAAAGCACTGTATAGGAATCATTTTTTTCTAATTTTTTTATTTTTTTTTTGAGTAAACGTTGAAGTTTTTAGATTGTAAAACCTCAAATTACCCCAGCTCCCACATGTGCAGGCAACGTGACTCTTCTATCAGCTCCTGACAGCATTAAAGGCCGCCAGTCTATTTCAACAGTTGGACATTTTAAATATTTAAGGGAGAGATTGTAACTAATAGGTATACCTTCAACATTTAAAAGAGAGCATCTAACTTTAAAAGTGAACATTTGGCAGCGGCTGCTGTTTTTCCAAGTCATCCATCTAAGCTGTCATGTGGTTGAGCAAACTGATAGAATCTACCGTGTGACTGTTTGGATGCACAGATCACCTGCAGTGGAAAATCTTACATATGTGTGTGAAGCTGACCACACGCAGGCACATGACGTGTGATCAGCACATCACCTGCAAAAGACCCGTGTTACAACTGTATTTATTATTTTGTAGATTCACAAGGGCACAGTATTCACATTAATTAACAAAACAGAAAAAAAAAAAATTGTGTCACTTGAAACTGTGTCAAAGGGATGGTGGCGCCCTAATTAATGGTCATTCTAGCCCCAGCTTTGAGTTACACAGGAGCTGCCTGTCAAACAGATAACCCTGTTAGAAGAATGTCACCTGCCTCAGTCTCAGGCATGCTGCACATGCATGCACGTACACATGTTTGTGGATTTGTCAACACCAAACTCAAGGACTATTTGAGTTACTTGTAAGTAAGATTTATTTATTTTTTATTTTTTAAAGGAAATGCCTTTTTAATTTTCTTCCTTTTGCGGCTTGGACACTTTTCCATATGATGGCCACCTCAAATGGCAAAGGTGAAAAAGTTTCCAAATTTGAGACATTGAAACTGTTGGAGAAATGCAGAAAGGAAAGAGATGATGCCATGCACAGAGAAAGTGTGCTGAGAGAGAAATTGAGACAGTATGAGTCAAGAATGCGTTCAACTGAGGCTTTGAAACAGAAACTGAAGACCCTGACAGTGGACAACAAGGAGCTGAGGAAACAAGTGAAGGCGCTTCGTACTGAAATTGGACTTGAGTGCAACCCTAAGTTCAATGGAAAGACCACCAAGGACATAATCAATGACTTTCATGAAAAGGAGCGTGAGTGCACATCTCTGGTGGAGAAGGCTGGGAAACTGAGTCTGACCATTGATGACTTGACATCAGAATTGGCAAATACGGTGACCTCTAAAACACTTTTAGAGGATCAAGTGCAGTCATTACAGCAAAATCTCAAGGACATGACAAATAATCAACGGCGTCTTCTTAAGCTGTGGGAAGACAAGAAGACCCAAAGGGAGCAGCTGGCCCTCCCCGCAATTATCCAGAAACCTGGACAGAAACCAATGGGCCATAAAGCAGTTCAAACTGAGATGTCCATTAGTTCATCCCAAAAGCTTCCAGTCAATGCTTTTGAGACCAAGCCATTTTCTCGGGACAGTGACAAAAAGACTGTTTTGGATAAACACAGTTTTCCAGCTTATGGAAATGGCTATCATCACGACAAGAAAGCTTTCATGCATGATGAAACTAAAGGCATTCAGAATTGACTTGACCCACTGAGTGACAGCCACTAACACTGTGCACTGACAAGCAGAGACGTAGCAAACTATTATTGGACTAATGTTTAATATATCTGTAAATTACAGACGATGAGTAAAACGAGAAAAAAATGCAACCCTGTGAAGCTGATTTATCGCTTGTTGTTGTGCCTTGTGTAATTTAATCTTGATAGTGTTGGTATTTGTATAATTGAAATGTAACCTAAGATCATTTAAGTCAGCCTTTAAGCATAATATTTTTAGGCAGTTGCTTGTTAGTTAATGAAATGGGTGAGACTGAATTTACATACACATTTTTTTTTAAAACAAGTAGATTTATGGTAAATCCAGGCCGCTCGGAAATACTGGCAGCAGGCAGGAAAATGGACAACTTCTTTTGGGGTCCTTCAGAGGTCCTTTGAATGCATGTGGCGCGCAGTGAGAAACCAAGCAGTAAATAGTTCAGTAGACAGCCGGAGAGCCGAAACCCTTGGAGCCACTGAGTGGCTTTCCATTTATCCAAACAACATGTTTTCCACAGAGCAGAGCTGTTGGTTTATCCGCAAGGTGGGTCCCTTTTCTTTTGAAATGAGTTCGTCATTCATAAAATTAAAAAAAAAGGATGTTTCCTGTATGCTAGCGTGCTAACCCAAAGTGTCTGTTTACGCTAGCCAGTGTAGATGCAGCTAATTGGCTTTTTAGGTGCTATTCATTTATATATTTTAAAATGATTTTAGAAAGTATTTACAAAACGACAAAAGAAAGAAAGGGACGTAAAGAAATCAGACACAATATGTGAATAGCAACTGTTGTGATTAAAGGAACGCGAGCAAAGTTAAAATAACTAAACGAAACAACGAAAAAACAGACTCAGCCGACTTGATGTCCTCAGGCAGAGTCCCGGGGATCTTAAAGTGCGTAGCCGTGCACACAATGCAAAAAGATGACAAAGTAAAGCTTGGAGAGAGGCCATGAAGGGTCTTAAAAGTAAATAGTAAAATCTTGAAATCTCTTCTAAAACATACTGAAAGCCAGTGCAAAGAGGCTAAAACAGGAGGGATGTGATAAGACATATTTTGGTTCTGCTAAATTTTGGTTATGGTTAGCGAATCAGTTCAGCTGTAGAGGTGAATTGATTCTGTATTCATTATGTATGTATGTAATAACTGCTCTGTACAGGTAATTTGCTGGAGAGCTGCAGCCAGTGTTGCTTGGGCTGTCCTGTTGTTGCCACCCATCACATTCGTTTTTGTGATCCTCAGCAAGTTCAGTTTCCTCCACCCCATCCAGACGATATCAGGTCAGTCACATTCATTTTTAGATTCAACTAGGAGTGGTGTGAAGTTGTGCTTGAAGCTTACTGTGAACTTCATTTTCCGTCCAGAATGCCTGTACCTACTAGCAAGCGCAAGCGGCATCTTCTCTTTCATCCTGTTGTGTGGAGTTATCCTCATCGTTGGTTTTCTGAACTTGGAGTATTACACAGGTGAGTTACAGGACACTGCAAAAGTGGGTTTCCTTAAGGATATCAGCTCAGTTCAGTTTTATTTATTTAGCACACAACATATGTCATCTCATAGCACTTCACACAGTAAAGTGAAGACCTTATGAATTTTAAGCACAGAACAGAGAACCCAACAATTGAAAATTGCCTTTGGATTCTCTATAAGCAAACAGTCATATATTACGGTTGTCGTTTCCAAGTTACTTTGTTTTAAATGATATTGTATAATTGATATGTTATTGAGATGTTTATTTAACTTATTTTTTTCAGTTTAGAAACCAGAGATAAGTGTCATCAGTTCAGTTTTGATGTACAGCAGACAAACAAAATAGGGAATCAAATGCATTGATTCAGTATGTCATACAGTTTACACAGAAGTCCACCGTTCGATCGTGCATGATTATTATTATCAGTTTTTAATTAATACATAGTTTAAAATGTTACACTTGTTAGTCATTGCCTGTTATGACAAACCCAACTACTCACTCATTAAATAAATCATTTTTAGTGCATTGGTTTATAGTGATATGATAACAGAGAAAAGCAAGGAACTCTTTGATGAATGTATAATGATCTAAATTTTCGTTACTTTTTATGATAAATAATTAAAATCACTGAGTGCCCATTTGGCAATGATTTGACTTCCTGAGGTTCAGTTACTGCTGCATTGCTTTAGTCTAATCACGGTGGAACAACTATTTGATTTTAAAATAAATGTGTGACTTGAAACAACTTAATCATTAAATGACAAAGGCTGCAGTTTAGGATGTACATTATGCAGCAAGTCTGAGCCAGGGTTTAAACTGTTGTCAGTGGTTTTATAAATTCATGCTGTCCTCCTTATGTAACAAGCTTGCTTTTGATCATATGTTATGTGGTAATGCTCCATCCCATTTTAAATCTACTACACAGCAAACAGAACCTTAAAACGTTATATCACAAGGCAAAGTGTTCTGTCCAAAGTCCAATATTGGCCATAGGAATTAGTATGCTTTGTATATTGCTAAAAATGGTTAAAATTTCCATTTATTCTAAGCATGTTGTCAAAATAGTTTATACTTGTGCATTCCCCTGTTAACAGTGTTGGGAACATTTTCTTTTAAATGGTTGTAGTTTGGGGGTTGCAAGGTGTCTCAGTGGTTAGCACCGTCGCCTAGATGGTCGCTGGTTCGCGTCCCAGTGAAGACACTCGGGATGTTTCTGCTTGGAGTTTGCATGTTCCAGCCCCCTGTGACCCTAGTGAGGATTAAGCGGTGTATGGATAGTGGATAGATGGGTTGTAGTCGAATGTCACGTGTCGAATTTTTGTTGTAACTTGGTTGTTTTCATGTCTGTTTAGTCATTCCAACTATTGCATGCTCGAAAATTGCACTGTTGGGTCAGCTGCTCCACCCTCGGCAGTTCGTCAACTCCCTTGTCCACTGCATCATGGGAATAATCGTGGCCTGGTGTTGTGCTGTTACCATTGGTTTTCGATATGAGACACTCGGCTATCCGTGTACACAGAGTGATGGGTAAGCAGCGACGAAACGAATCATTATGTTACGCTTTACATGCTTAATGCATAGTCTAACTGCTTCGGTGTGTTTTCGACCCTGACAGTTACCCTCAGATGTGTCTGAATGAGTATCATCTCATCCTTCTGCTGGCGGGAGCTTTTGTTGGGTTCTCTCACAGTCTGCTGGGTGTGATTAGCAACATGAACTACGTCTCCTTTCACACTGTTCAGGTACACGATATAAGTTTAGGCATTTATCTTGACTGATGAAGATGCAATGGTCTTTTTTTCGTTTTGTACCATAAAGTGTAACATAAACTTTAGAAAACAAGAATACCAGCATTATACTTTGAGTTGATTGTTGTTGTTCATATTCATTTATTAATATAAGATAAATAAAGTATTTTTCATTCATTCATTCATTCATTCATTCATTACTATTTTCTCAGCAATACAAATACCTTCGCTTCAAAGGATCCCTGCCGTTGGTGGTGAAGTGCAGTGCCACTCAAGCACTTTACTCTGTCAGGAACTACATTGTTGTGTATTTGTTTTTGGGTAAGTGTCCTCTATTTATGAATAAAATCTCAGTAACACAGCTGCTACACCTTAATTACGGCATTTAGCAATTTCTTCCAGATAGTCTAGGAATTACTATACTTGACATTTGTGTTCATCTTGTGTTTGCTCTGTGTTGCACAAAACTAGTGATACAAAATGTGTGATTTTCATATTAACAGGCTACATTCCAAGAGCATGGATCTGTAAGACACTGAATCTTCATTTGGACAGGTTAGTATAGTTCAGGGATTATATATGATTTATCAAACATACTTGTTAGTGTTCTGTGCATGGCCAATCTCTGGACTGACTTCTGGATAAATATGTTTGTGTTTGTTCTCGCCTTCCAGCTCTGTCCACACTCTTGACAGCATAGCTGGACTGCTGGACCTCTCTCTGCTCTATCACCTGTGGATCAGTGCCACTTTCCTTCTCCTCACGTGGCACATCACACTGCTGCTCTTTAGGATTTTTGTCACTGAGGTACGTGCATTTGTGAAAGACAGCATTTACACAACTTCTTCATATTTCTGATCAAATGTCTTGCTGCACTACAATACAGAAGTGAAATTTCCAAATTTTTGTTTTGCTTCAGTCAACTTTCAGTCAAAAAAATTGTGGTTTCCAGTTTGCTTGAATAAAGCAGCTGTACAGACTGGGGATTCCTCCTTCACCCAAAATGAATGTAGAACTAATCATAGTGACCACCATAAAATAATCTGGTTGTCTAATGTTCTATTATGATCAATTCATCGCTGAAGGGGCAATATGTGTTTGCTCTTCAATTATGTATAGACACTAGGGGGCAGTAAGTTAATGATTAGAATTAAAAGGATCTGAAGGGCAACAAACCTAACTACAATATCCTAAAGTTTATGATGAATCCCTTGGAATTTTCTTGAGCAAGCAGTTAAAGGCATGCTCGTCAGGACTGTTAATAAACATGAATTATATTTCCTCTACAGGTGTACAGTTTTCCTGTGCAGTCATCTTTTACTGAGGATTCACACCAATATCTTCCCAAAGTTCTTGCTGAGAAGCAGCCAAAGATATTAAAAGTAGGTGAAACTTGCTTGTAGATTATTTGAGGGTTGCATTTTGTTTAATACTCACTGATTACCAATTTTGGGTGTTCTGACTCATCTTTTCCCATATTTTAGTTTCTAGCTCTGCAGGACTTGGCTCTGTTGTCTCAGCATTCTCCTTCACGACGCTGTGAAGTCTTCAGTCTGAGTCAGCCAGGTCTGTTGTGTTGTTTTGATACACAGAGAATATGTCCTTCTATGTACTATTTTAGATTTTTCTTGTGTAGAATAAATCTCAGATATTGAGATTGTGCTTTTATGTAGCCTAAAACAACAGCGATATGTATTTGTTTTCATTCCTGCCTTCCCTAGGAGGACATCCTCATAACTGGAACGCCATCAGTAAAGAGTGTCTGTCTCTGCTGACTGATCTGACTCAGCGACTTGTAGCCTATCATGATACAGTAGCGACGAATGGCAGGGCCAAATCACTGCCAAGTGGGAATGAAAGGAAGACTTCATCTGAGACATCAGGTAGGCGAGCGGTTGATGTGAGTAAAGACTTGTGGATTGCTGTATGCTTTTTAAAATTCACTTTTGTTTTTCTTTTTTTTTTTTAATTCTGAAAGTAACCTCAGGTACAGAAGACCTGATGAGTCCAAGGCCCACTTTTGTGATGAAAACCCCAGCGTCAGTTTTTGCCCGCTCCATTGTTGGAACCCCGCAGAGTCCTTTGACAGCACTGTTCACTCCTGACCTGGACAGCCCCTTGGCCTCTCCTGCTCTGCGTCGTCTTACTGCTCCAGTGGAACAGTGCTCACCATGGTACGGCACAGTGCAGAGTCCACACATCATGAGGAGAGCGCCAAAACTCTGGTCCACCTCCACAGGTGAGATGGAATTCACGAAAAGCATCAGGCCACTCAGATCATACAGATCCTATTTTAGTCAAATGAAGTTGTTAGAAATCTGATATAGTCCCTCAAAACCTAATGTGCTCTTGGTGGATCACTGAAAACAGGTAAGTTCTATATGTATATAAGTTTCGCTTTAAATGATGCTAATAAGTGAGAAATTCCACCTTGTTTGATCTTAGAACTCCAGAACTAAATGTGAATTTGCGTTGTTTTCAGGCATCATTTTTAAACTCATTGTCTATGAAGTAATATGTCTCTGTCTCGATACAGATTCACAGGTCAATGGCAGTCCAACACCATCCCCAGCCTCAGTTCCTAGTCCAAAGCAGGAACCCTCCAAACCAAGTTTTTTGGCTCAGTTCCTCCAGAACAGAAAAGAACAGGTACTAAAACCTTGTCACAAAGCAGAATTATACTGTAGCCAGTTCAGCATTGCACTTCTGACATGAGACTTTTCACACTTAATGCTTGTCAGCTCTGAGGTAACGAGTGAAACGCAGCAATCTGCTTCATTCAACTTTAGCAATGTTCCAAAACCAACAGTCAGGTGTGAAAAGGGATGGGGCTCTACTTTCTCCTCTTCCTTTTTTCTGTTTTCTTATCAAAATCACAATAATGACGTCTGCTTTGGCAGCAGAAAGGCAGTGTAGTTCAAACATGACACATAAGAGGACTCCAAATGAAATTTAGATTTAAGGGTCTCAACAATCTGTTACAGCGTAGTTACGGGTGTGTTACAGTGTCTTTGTTCTGTTTGGAGTATACATCCACCTCTAATGAGTGGCAAACCCAGGGTTAAGTGTGAAAAGCCATTATTTGCATTCATTATCATTCCTAGTTTTAATGCTAAAACATCTCTACACTTAATTGTCCCATTTAGGTTAAAAATTTCTTGGCAAAGCGGGTGCTGATAATGTATTTGTTTAACAAGGTAAGGATGTTTGACATGTGCATGCTATCTCCCTTAAGCTTCTGCACACTGAGGGGCTCCTGCATGCTTTTGTCTGATAGTGTCGATTTTCATTTGGTTTTAGCAAACCTAACATTCTCACGTGTAGCCATCACTAATTTAGCTCCTGGTTTGAGGTCTAATGGTGCAGGCATTACTAATGTAGCTTTTTTCCATCCATCTAGCTGCTGCAATGAGCCTTACTAATTACCTTAAAAGCTTGAATTAAGGAGTCGTGTAACACTTGCCGTGAAAGTTAGCTTAGGCCTATAGAACCAGTGGTGTTTGTGTTAATCAGACATTGGGAAATCTTGTTTTTTTTTTTCAAATCAAATCAGAAGTTTATCAGAGCACTGCACTACTTCCTTTCTGTAGAAACTAGTTTTGGTTCGTCTCCTCTCTTAATAACACCTGCATGTTGTAGTGTAGTCTCATTGATTTGTCTAACTGCTTACTGATTTCAGTAAGTGCTGTTGTCTATGAAAAGAACTTCTGCTAGCTAACACTGTGTCTCGCAGCTTCCAGAAGCCTCCAGTCAGGCTCTTTTTGCTGACAGCCAGGCTCACATTTGGGCTTTGGAAGGTAGGAAAAGATGCTGACTATTTGCATTTGATTAGGATGCAACCTTAATCCAACATGCTCATTCTTTTCTTTAATTCGCCCCATACAGGGCTGTCGTACCTTGTTCAAGCCTCATTCTCAGAAGACCAATTTGGGGTTGTACAGACTACATTACCCAGCATTCTCAGCTGCATGCTGGTCTTGCAGGAGGTAGGTTTTTTATGGTTTACTGGAGCTATATTAGGTATACAGACAGACTTGAAATTTATGATACTCAGAGTATTTAAGTTAAGTGGGGGACATGCATACACTTTGACTTGTCATCAGTGCCAAAACATGTCCACACAGTCGTTGTAAGCTCTGTAAGAAGTGTATAAATAACAAAAAACTTGATCAAATTTCACTGTCTTACTGCCTATATTGTGAGAGTTTGAATTACCAAACAGTGGCGTACCTGTAGATGTAAAACCAGAACTTAAACGTTGCACCTTGAAAACAAATAAAAACTACCATTCACTAATTAAAATAACAACAAAAAAAAAAATCATATCTATTAGGAGCCTGTTCCATGAAGAAAGCTGAGAAAAATGGGGATTCAAGTCATGTGTCTTGAATGAACCCAACAAATCATTTGGGCTAAAGCGGTTCCATAAAGGTCAATTCAAGTTCACAGCATGTGTGTGTGGTATTGAGGTTGGGCATTGGTCAAATCTATCCGACATAGCAAATAGCAGTGATACAAAGACAGCGGCGATGTCAGCATCCACTAAGCAGCACTTACTATTAAAAACAACAAGAAGAATTTAAACATCCAATAACAAAAACAGAAATGCGTATTTATGGCTTCTTAAGCGTTTAGGTCCTTACTTACAGACATTTACTGACTAATTAAAAACCATACAGCAACTAGCTACATTCAGGTTCACTGTTTTGACATTGATATAAATGTATTTGTATACTATCAAGAAAACGCATGCTAGAAGCACATGGATTTTTATATTTCCAGTGAATGTAGCCTAATTTTGCAGTTGTACTGTTAACTAGTTTTGCAGCTTGCTATTATTCTATTTGATAATTTAGGTTGAGATCTATTTTATGTAGCATGTGCCATATTTGATCTACCATACCATGTAACTGAACAGGTGTGTTGGTCTTCATCTTATCATTTATCATTGTGTTATTTAATTAAGCAATTGTGTATTTCAGTTGATTTACTGCAAACCTTAACTTTCGGACTGATACTGGGTAACAAAGTCATAATATTGTATCATATTGAGAGTCACTGGTAGGATTTTTGCCTCACCATGAGGTCAGTATTGCTCTGGGTAAACAGCAGCTCTGACCTTGCCTCAGTTTATTGAGCTGAAAACAGTCAGTGGACAGACCCCTGGTCTGTGTCTACATGTTGTTGGGCCATGTTGTCACTTGTGGTTTGTGTAAGGTTTTGAGATATTCCAGCTGAGACAACAGTAACTGGAGTGTTTTTCTTAAAATGTCTCATTGTTGTATATTGTTTTTCAAACATTTCAACTGAAAACCTGTCAAGCAAGTGGTTCATTTACGCAAGAAGCACTTCACTGTATCAACTATTGTTAAAACTATTACGATTCAAATTTGACCACTTTCTATTTTAGGTTAAAATATTCCTTGTGTTATACAAGGAAAAGAGGCTATGACATCAGAGAATGATTTTAGTCACCCTACTCAGTAAACATGCAGGTTTATATTGACATTGTTGTAGTGACAGTTGCTAACTGATTGTGCATAAACAGGATCTCATTGCACTATGGATGTAGATTAGACTAACAGCAGTTGTGTCCTCCTTGTCTTCAGGCTGTAGATCGGCACTTCAAGCTGCCTCATGCCTCCAGTAAGCCTGTCAGGTCGACCAGCATCATGGGAGACTCGACTTTTAAAACGATGCGCTTTGCTCTGAGGGCCACACTCAAGACTGCCATCTACAGGATAACAACCACTTTTGGAGATCACCTAAAGTAAGGCTGTCTGATCAAATCCTGAGTGGTGCTTTGCATTGTCTAAAAACAAAAATTACATCTCATTTTGTGTATCCTAACTCTTGTTTTTTTTTTTGGTTTGTTTTAATCTTCAGCGCTGTTCAGATTTCTGCAGAGCACCGGAAAAGATTGCAGCAGTTTTTGGAGTACAAGGAATAACACACCTGATACTGGCTCTGGTGCCTTCAGATTCTTATCAGTGTGAGCAGTGGTGTCTCAAGACATCAGCTTCACTGAAGCAACAAATGAAAGCCCGCAATAGTGCCTCTTTTATATTTATTTCTGCTCTACGTTGTGGCGGATTGTATGAGATAGGCAAGATCACATCTCCCACATGCATGAGGCATGTACAGGAAGTCGAACTGGCAGACTGAACGAAACAGGCTGAAAGACTGTTACCTTCTGTGTTTGGGAGATGAAACTAGCTTATTATATAAGCAGCTCATTCCAACAGAGGTTTGCTTCATTTGTGATACAAGTAAATCATCAAATAATATTTGAGACATGTTGTAAAGGGCTACTTGAGCTGCATTTTCTTTGGGTTTCATATTTCAGCTGCTGTCCTTTTGACTGATATTTTGCATTTGCTATGATGAGTGAGAGATGACATGAGCGTCGACCAGGAAGCAATTTCACAGGTGTCTGATATGACACGTTTTCATCTATCTGGTTTTGTTCTCAACACTAACCTGGAGAACAGATTTTAAGCTGTGTGCATCAGCTCAGTAAATACACTTTAGTCAAATTTGCAGATTAGACACCTGTGTTTGCACGCAGCTGTTTGTTTTTGTCAGATTTGTTCATGTGAAATGAGTGTGACGTGTCACATCAGGGGCACAGATTTGGTGCTACTGGTTACAAGTGTGGGTAAATGTTTTGTCACTGCCAACATGGGTTTGACTTTCCACTCAAAGAGCTGTTGAATAAAAAAAATATGTAAAGTTCATACCTTGGGTTTGCATCATTACCAAGATGAAATACACACAGAGTACAGAGTGTGCTCATAATAAAGGTTTACTACACTTTGTCATTGAAATTCCTATAAAAGCAATGCTTTCTGCTTTAGTATTTATGTGTTGGTACTGGCACCCCAGAATCCCACATCGTCAGTTCAGCAGCAGACATTTCAGATAAATGCCCTTCAGCATGTACACTGGCTCCAGACTGAATGAGACCGTGCATATCCATTCATACAATGGACACACAGCAGATAGTTTGAGTTCTCATTGAATCAGAAGCACATAGTCTCAGCTGATAACATTAGCAATAGTTCAGTTCTAATAAGGTGTGAAAGTGAACCAGAATGGACCCTAAAACTGAAGCAGCTAAATAAAATGCAGCAGTTTCACTTCTGTATCATGTCTGAGTGGCACTTTATGATACGTGTTTTGTTATAAATGCACCCCATGTACCATTTTATTGGAAAGCAAGCTTTAGTCCATTTTAAGAAGTTGTTTAGGAGATGCCACTAAAAGTTGATCTCTAAATCTTACAAACAACACAAGGCCAATCAGTAAACCTTCAAACTCTAGATATGTCTTACTTTAGTTCTCAAATCCCATGGACTTAAACTGTTAATAACCTGTTAACTAACAATCTGTACATGTCGGTCATTTATCAAACACTGGACTTTTTTGAATTTTTATTTTGGATATTAAGGTTTATGACAATGGCAGTTTTTCAGTAAATTCATGGGGTGAATAGATCTGACTAGAGAATCCACCCGGCTTATCTGTAGTCATACAGCGACATTCGCTTGTAAAATGCTGTGGTATAATATCACAGTTGTACAATGGTTTTTGTGCTTTGAAGCAATTTCCCTGAGGTACCCTATACCGAAGGGATCAATAAAGTTCTATCTAATCTAATCTAATCTAAGTATGAAATAGTAATTTTAGGATCTGCTGCTTTTGGGACTTGCCAGTGTTTTGGGAGATTTGACCTAAACTACACATTAAAAGTCAGGATAGTTTAGACCCTTGGATTTTGTTGATTTTTTTAAAACAATTATCTCTCTCTCTCTCCCAACTTAATTCAAGTGCAAGAGTGCCTCTTTAAAATAAATGACCTGATATTGGCAGACAATATGTCTTGCATTAACCTGAAGGCATTAGTGCTGGTATGAACTTTTAGAAATGTAAATTTAGCATCTGTTAATGTAAACATTTATGTTAAGCAGATATTAGATGAAAGTCTTTTGCTGCCACTAATGAGTTAATGAATTCCCACATGATGTAACAACAAACACAACTCAACACAACCATAAAATGACAACATCAAGAGCATTGTCTTTTTGTTTATTGCACGAATCGTACGTATTTCCAACTGAACTGGTAGAATGCAATATCAGGCAGTGGTGGAAAAAAAATGTTCATCAAAAGCCTTATTATGTATACAAGATGCCAAAAGTAGCCAGTGGGAAAATCTGGATAGAATTGTCTCAAATTATGGATTAAGATCTAGAAAGGAAACACTGTTTTTTTTTTTTTTCTTGAACAAGAAAAAAAAGAATCAAAACCTTAATACTTGCAATGACAGCAGTTCTGTTCATAACAGAGGGGTGCCATAGAAGGAAAAACCAAACAAAAATGGACATGTCAAGACTTTTTTTTCTCAGGATTTTAAAAGTACTTTGTCCTCATATAGAATATAAACCTCTGCATCAATACCAATCAACTGTTTTGACTTTTTTTTTTTTTTTTAAGTCAAACAGCATTTGCTAAAGTTTTTTTTTTTTTTTTTTTACAGTATTTTTTTTAATATATATTTATATATGTACATATAAATTCAACTAACTACAGTTCTCATAGAAAATGAGAAAAGCTGGACTTTATCGCTCTCACACAACAAATGACTGGCAAGCATATTGACCCTGCCGCTCCCTCCATCCTCGTCTTAGAGCCAATGTCAACACAGCACACACAAGAGAGGTGTGCTGGCTGCAAACACCCGACCTGGCTCAAGTGTTTGTCTAAAAAACGTAATTCATCCAGATTTGAGACTTTGGACAAAGAAGAAGTTTGACATTTTTACTTGTTCGCTCTATTGCTGAGAGTTAGATGAGGAAATTGATACCACTCAGGGGTGTGAGGCTATGCAAAACATAAAGCTACCGCCAGCAGGCAGGCAGCTTAGTTTAACACAAAAACTTGCAAAAAGCATTAGAGGTGCTGTTATGTAAATACCTTCTGACTAGGGATGTCCTGAGCAGGTCTCAGAGACTGGGATTGGGGCCGATCAAGGCAGTTTTAAACCAATATGTATCATCACAGACTTAAACCCGATTCTTTGTTTACTGTCACAGGTGTCGTAAAGGGAGAGCACAATTTGTAGCAGAATGCAAATTCCAATAATTTTCTTCAGCACTGACAGCATTATCCACCAACTACTGGTTAATTGATGACAGACTCAGCACAGTGGACATTTTCCCTGCACCGGTAACGCCATTTTCTACAGACATAGAATATGGGCCACAACTGCTGCTCTGTAACATATGTCAACTGGATATATGACCACTGTCCAAGGCCAAGCCAGCTTTTTTCAATAATGGAAGCTCTGGCTAGAGGTCCTTAAGCATCAAAGAAGACATTCTCATGGTGGCTCACTACTAGCCAAACCGTCTCAATGCTCTCTGCTTGCCAACACAGACCAGCCTGCAGTCTCAACAGTCCTGCTTAGCCAGCCTGTTCTGTAGAACATAACGGTCTGGCTGCAACACACTATCATTCTGCTGTAGCGGGGAGAAAAAAAAAAATGCTCTGCTTTGTTTATATTGCTTCAATCCAATCATGGTCATTGTGGGTGGGGCTAAGCAAAGTATGTGGCTTTGGTGTGTCCACAAAATAGTGATGGGTGAAATTCTTGAGGTGGAACATTTGCACGCAGGGAGATGAGCACTGTAATTAAAATGGATAATCTACTGAAAACAACTATTAGGGCCGCCTTACTGCACAAGCCAAAACCTTCAACAAAAGTTTCAGTAGATTTCTGTCCAGAGTTGGCTGTTGTTGTTTCCTGGTGCAAAGAAAATGGTAACACAAAGATAGTGGAAGAGAGGGAGAATGGAAACTGAAATGTTCAGCCAATGGCAGGCCTGTACCGGCAACATACATCCGGTAAGTCAGAGTGTAGTCCCAGGAACACCTCTTCTGGTTACTGCAATATTAAGAAGTAAGAGCCAGACACCAGGTACAACACCTAACCTACAGTACTTGAAGTTGGCATACTAATAAGTATTAATGAGTCTGATTTGATCAGGGGCAAGAAAAAAGATATCGAGACGTTCCTACTGCCTGAGCCAGACAAGCTATTTCCACAAGCAAGAAATTGAATTAATTATTCCCAAATGTAGAACTATTACTTTTAGGAACCACATAAACAAGTGCAGCCCTTTATGACCCCAATCCCAACTGGCTGGTAGGCAGTGTTTCAAATGGGATTGATCCAGGTCGGTTCTGGCTCTTCAAAATTCCACTGTTTCCCAACAGAGCCCAAAATCAGTCCTATATACACGCTGAACACCATCTACCTCTCCACTTTCCTGGTCAGTGAGAGGTGAACCATAGACTTTCTGTCAAAGATGAGTTTCTGAATGGAGAGTGAGGGAGGAAGAAAGAGGAGGAAAGGCTGGTAGACGCAAAGGAAACCACCTCTCCTCAGTCAAGAAACGCTCAAGTGCAAAAATTTCCCCCGACTCAAAAAAGTTTAAGAAAAAATAAAGTTAACTTCTCAACAGCTCCACCCCCAAAGTCACACACTCAGCGCACGTTTTGTCTGTATCTCAAACTAAAGCATCCCTGATTCAAAGTGCACTCAGTGATGATGGGGGAGGTTGATGAAGGAAGGAAGAGTGGAGGGAGTGGCTGAGGGCAGCATGTAGGGTAACGCAGCATGTAGAGAATTAGTAGTTCTCTGGGAGCAAAAGTGTGATAAATGCAAGTAGCTGCTCAAGCTCACAGCCAAAAAAAAAAAATCAGTATGGGGAGATGGAGTGAGGGGAACTGGGCTCTCCCTATAAAAATTCAAATCTTAAAGGAAGTCACATTTAGGGGATGGTTTGAGGAGATAAGCATACGCCCTTGCTCCCTGCTGAACCCCTCTTCATCAGCACAGAAAGGTCAAGAGCAAGAGGTGTGTTACTAAGAGAGGGGAGATTGTGTGCTGGTGATGTATACTATAGGTTGTCTAAAGTTGGAGGTACTTGTTGCCATACACACACAGTACATTGTTCTGGGTCTAGGCAGAGCATATAGATAATGTATGGACAAGCAGGGGCCTCCAAGTGGTTTATAGGGATGTAAGCACTCACTAAACCTCTTTGTACAATTCTCAAAAAAAAAATCAGGATTCTGGAAGTGTGTATGCAGTCTGTAGTTGCCATTTGCACACTCATAACTGCTGGGAAACCAGGCGTTAAGCATTTCTGTCACTCTGCTTCAACAGTATGTTTAAGTAAATGTATGTGTTTATCTGTGTTTGTATGTGTGTGTAAAAAAAAAAAAGAAGGTTGTGGCTCATCAGTGTTTGAGTGTGCCAGTGTGTCAATAGTGCTTGCCTATGTGCATCAATTCAAGGGCAATAAAGAGTGAGTGTATGTATGTGTGTATGCATCTGTATGAGTGTGTGTGTGTGTGTGTGTGTGTGTGTGTGTATCTGTATGAGTGTAAGTATGTATGTGTGGCTCAAGACGACATGCACTGGACATGGTCTGGACCTCCTTCCTCTTCATCTGAAGAATCTGGAGAGCTCCAGGACTCATCCGTGTCTGCATCTGCACCCTCACGGCGGGCCTGCATTGACACGGGAGAAAGGAACAGCAGGACAAGTAAGAATGAGATTATTCAGGTTAAAAGAATATCAAAACATCTTGCCAACCTGGTCCTTTAAAAAACTTTGAAACTACATTTTCGGTTCAAAATCACAAGTAAACGCACTGGAATGCTACTTTTGCACGTTCTTCCAAAAGACTTTGACTGTGGCCATAGTGCACAATTACGCATTCTTGTTGAAGGCAGCATGTTACAATAATTTGTGCCAAGTTAGAATTTATGACAACTGTTTACATTATGAACATAGTTTAAAACTGAATTTGTGTGAAGTAAGTGCATAGGTATCATAAATATATCACACATTCATTCCCTAAAGTTTTTTTTTTAACCTTTATTTAACCAGAAAGTCCCGTTGAGATTAGAAATCTCTTTCACAATAGAGTTCTGGCCAAGGTAGCAGTCATACAAAGTCAAAAAAACTAATATAAAACAGATACATGATACACAAATGAATAATGAACGGTAAAACAACAAACCAGATCGACAGCTATTCAAGGACAGTGGCCTCTAAAGAAAAACAGTCACATTCCTCTTTTCCTGTATTCTTTATGATACTCTTAAACTCATCAATGGATGTGAATGTTTCTAGTTTAAGAGTTTTTTGAAGGTTGTTGGACCTTCTCTGAGCACATGTGCTTGGTTTTCCCCAAGTTTTTGGAGTTTGTCGAGCTATCTGACAGCTCACCCTTGGAGGTCGTCTGTTCCTCATGTGTCTCATCAGGAACCACAGCAGCTGGGTGTCGTACTGGTCGCCATGGCGCACGCTGTCCTCATCACGCTCCCGCTTGTTTTTCTTCATCACCTTTACAAACACAACATAACGCTTTGTAAAGCTGTGAACGTGGGGATCATCTTTCCAAACATGTCTCTCGGCGATGCGTTTGTAGAAACTGGACCACAGCTACACACCTGAAGACCAGTGGGGCTTGTAACATAAAATCAAATGTGCAGGATAAAATCACCCCAAATAGCCATTCTGAATATGTAATACAGTCCAGAGATATCATAGCATTGTCTGCACAGAGTTTTGCAGCACAATGAATTATTAAGTTTTGGCACATTGAGCTTTACTTTCAGTTTTAGTTTGGTAAATATCAGTCAGAGTGAATTATGTTGCAGCGTCACATGAACTGTTTGCAGTCCTTTGTCTGTGAATGTGGTGAGTAAAATGAGTAAAAAAAAAAAAACAGAATGCTTTAAAAAAAAACAAAAAAAAACAATACCTCTTTTAGACCTTTGAGTCCTGTGGGGCTTTCAGCTGTAGGAGCCCACAGTTTAATGTCGTGGTCCAGCCCACTGGTGGCCATGCCTGGCAGATGGGGATGTGGCTCCAGACAGTTGACCTGTAGTTGTTCAGGGTGGAGAGAAGGATTGTTATAAAAAATTATACTGCAGAATACAAATCCTAAATCCAACCAAAGCAAGACTTAGTAAGGTAACAGTATTTAAGTTGTAGTTGAATGTATAAAAATAAAAGTACTGAAAAGCAAAAATCTCAGTCCACCAATCACACATGTTGTACTTTCCACTCTGACTCACCACTCCTCCTCTGTCTCCCTCCATGAATTGGACGATGCGAGCAGAGTACTTGTCCCACAGGTAGATGTGTCCACAGTCACTGCCACTGACCACAAACTCACTGCACGGCCCGTAGAAGTTCACCCCCTTCACTGTGACATACAGGATGATAGAGTTAGTCTGAGAACTTTCCAGAAATTCAAAATTACCCTTCAAGTATGAAAACGTGGTCACTTGATAACAGCCAGAATGACGACCTGCTGTCAGCTAAATGCTTGTAAAGTTAGACTAAATCTGATATGTCTTATTTTTAGAACTGTGGCTAGATGCAAAGGTCACTGCTTTATTGCTGTACCTGGGGACTGAATTTATTACCTGTGGCATTATTGCGGTGTCCCTTGTATCTTCTACGATAGTCTGCCCCATCACTGTGGTTGGAGTCGAACAAGTAGATGTCTTCGTCATTGTAACTAGCCAGGAGCTCTGGACAGACAGAAAGGGTTAAACGTTTTTTTGATTAACTTCCTTTAATATCACAGAGGCATTGGGCCATTGACTATATACAGATCTTTTAGACAAGCTCAGCCTAATAGTTGATACATTTGCCGAACTGGTGCTAAATCTGACTTCACTGGTGATATGCAAAGATGAGAGGACCCTGAAGACTTTGATTTAGTGACAGTAGTTCTATTTGAATGTTACCACTATTTCATGTTGGGTGTGTCAGGGGGCTAAGAAGGGAAGACGTTTTGGAATTAAAAGACAATGAATCAAGAATCAAGTGTTGCCATTATTATTGTTATTTATTAATTTTGTTGCACAAGGTGCAATGACCATACAAGGAATCCTTTTTAGTTCTATTATCATGGCATGTTCATATCAGAATGAGAATTTATATGAAGATAATCAAACTGAATTCAAATCTAAATTTGATAATGCATCATGGTGACTGAGTGCTGTTCCACACCTTTCTTTTTGAAGGACGGTAAATATAACATAAGTGTTCTCTGAGTACTTAAAACGCCGCACATTTCATACACCGTTTTCACTGTGTGAGTTCTTTTACCTGTGCCGTCGTGACTGTACACAAGGCAGGTTATGTTGGTTTTGGACTCACTGGATACCAGATGTGAAGGACAAAACTTTTTCAGGACACCATTATTATCATTTTCATTAATCTTCCTCTGGTCATAGATCCTAATGAAAGGGAAAAGAGGACAATGAGAGAAGAGGAAAAAAAAAAGAATTAAAGACTAAATCAGACAACTAAGTGGCCAAAGACTATCGTACTGTTTCCACAGGACCCCATTGCATTATTAGTGACATAAAGAGCACTTGGTTCATACCTTACATACTGATCTCTCCCTCCAACTGCAAAGTGGTGTGTCTTTGCTGGGTTGACAAAAATGGTGTACAGCCCCACTTTTTTATCACCTTCCTTTACTACCACCAGTTTACTGCCACACAGATGCAAGGAGACACAAAGAAAAAAACAAGCATTGGCAACAGCAAACACTGTAATAAAAAAATGATAATGACATGTAGCAAACACAGGGAAATTGCACTGGCAAAGAGGAAATGTATTTACAAGTGGATGAAGAGCGCCACTGACTCATGCAGGATATTTGTGTAACATTACACAGTGCAGCCAGTCAGGGAGTCAAGCTTCAAACATATTTTGATGCAGTTTATTCATGTTGTTGACCCTCGTGTTGCACAAGACAGTCAGTTTTGGATGTGTAGCGCTTCTTTCCTCAACACATTTAAACTTGATGGTAACACTTACTTGGCAGGACGGTCTAAGCGCAGGTCAATGCCAAACACCACAGCATCCTCTCCAGCAGACAGAAAGGAGCAGGGGGAATCTGGCTCAAGGGCCAGCTGAAAGAAAAGATACAATAAACACTCAGATACACTGAATTAGAACTGTAATTCAATATCAGGCGATGGGAGCCTTGGATACTCCTGCAGTTTGCAGGACAGACATTCTCACCGCACACCCACCCAACACTCACCTTGTGTGCTGCCCCTTTATGCTGTGCAACCCGCTTTGTGTTCTTGCAGCGCTGTGTGGCAGAAAGCTCTGCCACTCTGATCTGACCATCACGAGCACACATGGCCAAGGTGGAGTCTCCACTGTGAGGCAGGAACTTTGCCTATATAAATTAGAGGGAGAACTCATTTTAAATTTATGACCACAATTTACTTTGATTGGTCACTTTCTTAGTCATGTCAATCTTCACTCTATTGTCCTGCAAGAATTTGCATTTGGCATTGATTAATGTGAAATAATCATTAACCCTGATCATTACTTCTTCCTGCCATGAAATAACTGTAGTCCTTTATTCTAAAGTAGGAAAATGCTTTCTGTTGATATGATCAAATTCCGGAAATCTAATCTGCTTATTTGCACTTTAAAGCTGAAACAATTCAATTGTCAAAATATTTAAATGACAGAAAACTGAACAACTGTTCAGAATTAAAAAAAAAAAATCATAATTTAATCAGAGCACGAATGCCAAACATCAAGTGACCCTAGACTGTATAAAAAAGCAACAAATCTTCACAATATAACAAATTGGTGCTTTTCTTTTTACAACTCTAAATTATGATGTCATGGCAATTTTTCATGTTTTGTGACATTTTAATTGCTAATATTTTATTGAAAAACTAGAAGTACTAACTGATTCTGAAAATAATCACAAGTTATAATCCTATCACTCTCCCTCACCTGAAAAACATTGCTCTTATGTCCACTGTCAAACTCCAGCTCAGCACGACGGATGGCCCAGTCCCAGATCACCACTCGCAGGTCATCGCTGCCTGATGCCAAGCGTGTGCCAGAGGGGTTGAAGTGCAACGTGTTGACGCAGCCTGTGTGCCTCTCTAAGCGGCCCTGGAGCTCCAGCCTCTGCACGAGGCCTCGGGCTCCACACACCCGCCTCACAAACTGGTGCGAGTCCCTTCCGATCTCCCTGGAGCGCAGCGAGGGTACTGCCCGCCATACAGGGCCACGCAGGTCACGAAGCTCTGCTCCCAACCACGCCTCCATAGCCTCATCATCGTCTTCATCATCTTTCTGTTCTTCTTCTTCATCCTCATCGTCATCTTCATCTGAGCTGGAGGAGTGGTTGTTGCCACCGCCAGGTCGGTTCCTCTTTCTAGCTGCCCGTTGCCCACCATCTTTTTCCTTGGCCTTCTCTCGTCTCCCTCCCTCACTCTCCCTTTCACCATCCTCAGTCAAGGAGTAGAGGCCACTGCCATCCATGCTGTCTGTGTCTTCATCCTCCTCTCCCTCTCGGTTTGTCCCGGTCTCTCCTTCCACGTCTGGCATAGGTTTGTCTCCAGATGCCTCTGCTGTTTCTTTGGGAGCTACAGAAATAGCGAGGCCAGGATAAGGTTAAGGCAACACGCTCTCAATGGGAGATTCAACAAAAGGCCAACATGTGCTGCATATGCAAATTACAAAAAAAACAACAACCAAAATAACCACCATTACATTTTAATTTATTAAATATATAAACACATCCCTGTTAAATTACAGTAGGCTGCTAACAATCGCGATTCAACATATAATTCAGCAAAGTTTCTACCCCATTAAAAAACCTTACCAACATACACGTCATAAGGACCTGCTGTAACCACAAAGGGATGCTTACCATCTTGAGAGGAAGACTCTGTTTGTCCCTCTTTGCTTCCAGAGGCATCCCGCTCCTTCTGTTGATCTTCTCCAGGCGTGTTTTCCTCAGAGCCACCTAGCAAAACCAAACATTTGCTCTGATTAACTCTCAGCGCTAAAGAGCAGGACAGCTTGCACTGTTATGGTCAGTGTTTTCTAGCCCTGAGCCTTCACCGTTAAGCACAGTGGATTTGCCGTCAGCCTCAGCCATTCCGTTTCCTTTGTCCTGCGTCGACCCGAAGTAGAACCTTTCGTGGCACACAGAAGCAATATTAAAGTTACTAACTGGACAAACTGCACACTGCTCACAACACCAATAGACAGCTAATATGCATATATGACATCACAGGCTGCACTCAATGAACTACTGTCAATTACTGCCTCGTAGCTTCCAAACTAAAGAGCAGGCTAACCTTACTAGCTACACACCGCTGCATTTAACAACCTAAACAAACTAACTGGCTGGCTAGCGGTCTCACAGGCCTGGATATTGCCCTGATTTGCTTTGAGGTGTTTAATAGTGCATTGTCCTTTGTATCACTGCGATTGCTCGACTACGTGACACTGGTGCTAGCGTCAGCTAATGCTAGCTAGCATGTGTGAGGCTAAAAAACACCGAAGCTAGAATACAGCTGTCAGTTGTGTTGAACGACTAAACCAGCTGGTTGTCAAGATGCGAGCAAGCGGCCAACATTGCTCTACTCGCTAACTAGCATAGCAAGCGTTACCTCTACTCGAAGGCCCGACGAGGCGTACTTCTTAGTTTAGTCCTAATCTTTACTGCAGATTTTTTTTCTCTCCACCTCGCTGCTTAGCAAATGAGCTAAGTGCCTCGACTAGGAATTCTCAGACGGAGAAGACACAACATTAGGGATGGGTGTACAGAGCTTTTAAAAGGCAGACTATAAAACGAGCTAGCTGCGTTCACACAAGGTTGACTGTTTATGTTTTGACGGTTCAGCTTCTTTTTTTTTTCGTGGTTCCCTTTCCGGTGTCGTGCTCGCTTGCTGTTTATTTTTTTATTTATTTTTTTATTTCCTCCCTGGTTGTTACTAAAGAACCGCGAGTCTTACAATAATGATAATAATAATAATAATAATAATAATAATAATAATAATAAGAAGAAGAAGAAGAAGAAGAAGAAGACGACGACAATAATTACAATAGTAAAAAGAAAATCGGTGAACAGTAAACACCTACTGAGTCTGTAATAGAAAACATGTTCAACAAACACAGTTCATAGCCACAGCGAGTTTATGTCCCCCTCTCAAAAAAAACAACAAAAGAAGCAGGTTCTTTTATTTTGAAAAACCACTTCCGGGCGCTGACTCGTTGACTTAGCCGGGATAACGTCAAATGAGAGAACAAAATATATAGGAGAATAAATGTTTGAAACCAGTACATGATGCCTGAAAGTTTGACTACATTATATTTAATTTTATTTTAATTTGTCACCATCATACTAGAAGTTTGTGTTTTCCTTTACATATAAATAATACATTTCCTCCATAAACTGATGAAGAAAATGCAAAATCTGGTTCAGCAGAATGCAAGAGAGCAAGTGTTTGACTTGCTTGCTACAAGATAAGCCTGATCAGTGTATAGGGAAACATATGGCTCCCTCATTTAGACTGACAAACTGTGGGATCCCGTAGCTTCCTTCCTTTGTTTATATCACAGACTTAATGGCAGTGATTCACAGTAATTCCCATGGCAGCAGGATGTATTCTCTCTGCCTCTTTTAGATCCAGTGATTGTTCTAGATGTTGTTATATTTATGACTATTGGGTCCCAGTCTCCCAGAAAAGACCCAACATTGCAGTCACCTGCTTGTAATGCACATGGAAGTCAGCTGTGAGTGACAGGCTGTGAGGGAAAGGTTACTGTGGCACATAAATAACAATAAACTGTTTCAATAAGACTCCATATTTAATTTCAGTCACTCAGCCATCATTCTGATCATCAGTTTGCGATGACTCCGCACCAGTTTCTTGACCTTCAGGATGTTGGCACAAGCTCTTGTTATTGAGGGACATCCTGATTTTGGTCCTCCTCCACATTATACCGCCCCATTCTGAAAGCTTTGTGACTCTCATAGACACATGTACGGGACATTAGTTGCTCCCCATACTCATCCTTCAGCATGACAAAGGTTTCATGCTGAAGGAATAAATGGGAGTTTTTACCATTTTAGCCAAGAACTTGATGTTAGGTTCAAGGTTCATTGTGTGACAGAGGGCACTGGACTGGAGCTAGAAACCCACCTATGAAAAGAAAGATAACAGGTCAGTTGAAGTGTTGCTTTTCTCATACAGCATTGAGACGCTAGGCAACACTCTGATGTACTTCATGACTGCGTGGCTGTTGAACTGTCAGCAACCAACGTCCAATAATTTTCTGTCACACCTTCTATGTAAATGAAAGAAGAAGTGCTGAAATATTTAGTTGATTGATCAGCTGAAAGGATCATTTTACTTGCTGCCACCAGTTTCAAAATATGTCAAAACTATGAAATGACACGTGGTGGAGAAACACATTCTAAAAAGCAATTCAGGAAACTTATTCCCACCATTTACTTAAATGCATATTTACAAAATGAAAATTCTGATTCGATGATTTAGATAAAACTTCTAAGTTGCAGACATTATTTTGATGAGTGGGCTGACACAATACGGTTGGTTATCCATCAACAAATTGAAACATTCACTGATTTAAAACTAAATTCAAGTTGCAGTAACCTAATAATACAGTTAAAAGAGTGTGTTAGAGGACCTGTAGGCCAAACAAATATATCTACACAGAACATTTTATGGACAGAATCAAGTCCATTTTCCGCAAATTCCACTAAAGCAATACACTGGGGAATATTTTCAGCTGTGATATAACCACCAGTGAACTGAGTTAAGGCTACACTTGCTGATGCAGTTGAGGGAGTATGTTGTGCTGCTGCACACAGCTACTGTTGGTTGTATTGAGCAGTGCAATCTGCCCATCCTGCTCTTCAGTTTAGCAAACTATAGATAAGAATGATTCAAGTTTCATTTGACAAATCTGCTCAGCTAGAGAGGGCTTTTCATGTCGATTTCTAATTTGTGGGTCAGTTTAAATTTTTGGTTGATGTTGCTTTTAATGGTTTAAATATTGTGCACTAAAATAAACAACTGCAGCTTTTTTCTCTCTCTCTCTTTATTTTGTTCTTTATTCTATGTTGCACTGAAGGAGCTGCTCTTAATCTCATTGTACATGTGTATAGTGACAATAAAGGCATTCTATTCTATTCTATTCTATTCTAAAACAAGCAAACAAACAAAAATTTGTCATCAACAATTTTGTTGATGAATTAAGTAAATTTTTTAATGCTACTACAGGGACATAAACATAAAACTACTGAAGATTTATTCAGAAAGCAAACTGCAACAAGTTAGTTTTTAAAATCTTTAACTTTTTACAATTTTTATTTCTTTATTTTAAATCCTTATTATGGTCGTTAAGCAGGGACACACAAAATGGCTTTTAATTAACATTTGGAACAACTTCATTTTCAGGAGTAGCTTCAGGACTTGTGTTTGTGTTTATCACTGACTCATCAAGGAACCTGAAGACCGTTTCCTCAAACTCAGTGGAGCTTGTTAAGTGGACATTTCATTTTCTTTAAAAGCTGTCTCAATATATATATGAAAACTGGGATTGTATTTGTAATGAGTGCACCTATGACAAGCTCAGACATAGCGACAGTTGATGGGACACTTCTCTGATGTGCCAAAAACAGAACAACAGAACAGGACGCAGCGTGTGAAGCCACAGATAGCTCCAGTAGATCCTGCAGGTCAACACCCCGGTAACTAATTTCTAAAGATAGAGCAGATACTTTGAGTTTTGAAAAGATTTTTTGTTGAGGACGACCTTCGTGGAAATATGACAGAAGAAGGAAGGGGAAGTTGCCAGAGACAGAGGGGGTTTCAGAGCAGCCGCCCCCAGCAGCGCTGCGCTCATAAGCCGCCGCAGCTGCGCCGCTGCTCAGAGGCGATGCGGGAGTCTGGAGGGACGAGCTGACGACTCAGCCTGCCTGTCATGTCGTGCACACACTTACAGTAAGGGAGAACTTCTCACTTTTGGCACTGACCTTCTGTTTCCACCGCCAGCATGGAGTACTGGAGGCAGTGTGCGATGTGGCTGATCAGCTGCAACGTGCTGCCCGCCAACCACCGGGTGACCGCGGACACTGCGCAGGTGTTCGACCTGGCGCAAACCCTGCGGGACGGGGTACTGCTGTGCCAGCTGCTCAACAACCTGAAACCCCACACCATCAACCTGAAGGAGATCAACCTGAGGCCGCAGATGTCCCAGGTAGGCTGCTCATTTGTTCTGTTAAAGCAACTTGAGTTGAATTGCAAAACACTGAGAACATGAAAGTGTTCACACCTAAAAGCTGGAGGCTAATGCTAACCTGTAGTGTTAGATGTCAAAGAGAGCTCAGACTAGTCAATCCCAGTTAACAACAGGAGCTCCAGTGTCAGTTCGTCTGGTTTAGGGTTAGTGGAGGAGGGCAGCCACAGGTTGACAGCTGCTTTTCAACTGAAGGAAATAAAAGATGCCTCAGATGAACATAAACACACCACCAAGGATCAGAGTGGAAAGCACATGAGCACATCATAGTTTTCACTGCAGTAGTTTGAGAACAGAAGTCTGGTTGTTTCCAGTGTTCCTAAAAGTAAAGATGAAATAGTATATATTTGAACAAAATTGTCTGTGATTTCAAAATGAACTGCATAGATGTGTAACTTAAACTATGCTTGTGATCATCTCCCATCCCTCCCACACATACTTATATCTGACTGTCTGAATCCATACCTTGAACGCTGGGTGTGCACATCAAGGTGTCACCGTACATTTTAAAACCATGCATTTACCTCTGACAGGTGTTTTCACCACGCTACTTCCTCTGAATGGTCAAAAGTGGCTCGCTGTGTCCTGTCTCCATATCAGCAGTCAAAGTCTTGTATAAGTGAGAAAGTGTTGAATGTTTCTTGTCTATGAAACCTAAAGAAATGATCCAAGATTTGACCTCTCCTCACCCGTGTAGTCATTCTTCTGGCTGCCACTGGAGAGGCCTGATAAAATCCTCTCTTTGATCCACCCCTTGGTTAAACTCATACAATTTAGCAGCAGCTTATAGTTTGCTTATGACTGAGAATTAAGCCATTTAACATTTCGCCACTGAAATGCATTTTCTACTACAAATCACTATTTTGTGCAGAATGTTCATGAAGAAGAGATAGAGGAGATTTTCTTAAATGATAGGTGTTACTGTAACATTAAATGAAATAAACAAATTAATAAAAAGTACTGTTATGAAAGGCATATTTCTTCATTTCACTGAGGCACTTGTTTATAATGGGATATCTGCTTAGATGCCTCAATTAAAAGCTGTTGTGGTTGACAAAAACGGATAATTCTGCCTTTGCGTAATATGTCACTGTATGTGTGAGGCTTCCTGTGCAGCAGCGTACGAAGGCATCATTGCAAGTGATTAGATCTTTGCGCCTTCTTAGAAGTCTGACAGCTTATTAAGATAAAAAAGGACCCATGAAAACAACACTATAGAAAGACCCTGATGTTAAGCACATTCAAATACATTTCAGACTTTACATAGTTTTTGACATAGGAAATATAAATGATGCATTACCACAGATTCCTTCAAAATAATTCAATGTACAACTTTTTTCATTTTAACAACAAACTGCCACCCCTAATAGAGACATGGCTTCAAAATAGCTGGTTAAGAAATAATGTGCAGCTAATTTTATAAGGTTAAAATTGCATTCTGCTCTATAAACTGCTGAGTTCTGTATGTGCTCTGACAGCGCACATCCACTTGTCTTTTATCTTGATGGACAGTGAAAGCAAACCCAGGGCGTACTGTGCCAAGCAGTGGATAGTCATAGCCTGCAGCTATAGGCCGTCTGAGTACGGATGAGAAAGACGTGACAGTGGGCTCCAGATTTTAAATGGCACTTTCATTGTGTCCTTGTGACCGATGATCTTAGAAATGGAAGTAAGGGCATAAAGGTAATGGACTGGAGGACAATAGTGCAGTGTACTGTGATGAAAATGTGCCCATAAGTGCTATTTTGATCGTAGAGTATGTTGGGCCCTTGTGCACTTGCAAATCAATGGTGCTGATAATAAAATGTATGGATCAAATATGCACTAAATGTCTTCTCTGTTTTTTATACACTAGTTATTTTTTCAGATAAATTAGATTGACTGCTAGTCAAAAACAGATAAACACTGCAGAACTTCCATATGTATGAGCAGAACGTGGTCCGACGTTGAAATAACCAGAAAAGAACGCCGGATAAGCAAATCACAGGCCTCGTTTAAATAATCCTAAACCCTCAGTCCAAAAATACAGAAGTACGTAGAAACATCAGCGCTTTAACAGTATTACACTGTGTAGTTTTTCACCAGTGAGACCACCAGTTTCTATTTTTTTTAAAATTCCAATCTAAAAATGCACACGTGAATGTGCAGCGGCGCTATGAGTAAGGCTTCTGGTGGTGCAAAGCCTTCATGTTCATGCACTTCCTCCGCAGACTAGCGGGGCCCCGGGGGGCGGTGGAGTGATTACAGGCGTCTCCACGATGAGCTGATGTGATAAAAACAAACCTATCTGTTCTCAAGAATCTTGTGTTTGCGAAAAAAAAAAGTCACATATGCAGTTTCTGATTTAGTCATCACTAAATAATGTGCATGAAAAGGCCAATGTTGACAGCACCTTTATTACTTCAATGGATATTTTCAGCACCGTGTGAGGAAGCTTTTCAGTAGAAGTGGTGAAAGCACTGCCCAGACCCTGCACCATAACCAGAAGCCTGTTATCTTTCTGAAAGCTGTTTGACTGCAGTCTTCCCACTGAAACATACGTAGATCCTAAGAGGAAGTGACACCAACCTAGGACACGACTAGCGACTTCATTTCACACTGTCAAACTGTTAGTTTTCACTTTCAGTTTGCAGAGTTTCAAAAGGAACTTCACATTTTCAAAAGGAACTTTAAAATCTCTGTGCTTTCACAAATTTGTAAATACAAGTTTATGTAGGATAAAATAGGATTAATAGGTTAAGCTCACACACACACTGTTCAAGTTTAAAGATACTTTATTAGTGTGTATTATGCAAATCATGACAGTGTTTCTTTCTGTCTGGTTTTTGAGATTATCTGTGTGCTGCTGCAATAGAGTTACATCTGTTTGGGCTTGTTTGTGCTGCTCATATGATGACAGATTCTTTTAGAAACATAGAGTAGCAACTTCTCTCTCCTAAAACAGTATCACTGTTAATCTGGACAACCACAGACCACGCTGTCGACAGTTCTGCAGAACATAGGGGCTGTTCCTTTGGTCAAATACTTCCAGTCAACACTGCTGATTTTTTCTGTGACTGTTGCCATGAATAAATCCCAGTTATTAGTAGTTTTTTGACTACTGATTTCACCACTATTTCACTGTTTTTCATAGACTTCACAAGGTTTTAGTTTGGGTACACACACTTTAATTTTACTTCAAATTAAGGTTGGTACAGTTAAACAACACTACTTTTGGGTTAATGGTGTATAGAAATGCATCTTTACCAAAGACAGACACAAGGACAATTTCTCAGTGTTACTAGCCACACAGAGAGATTTTTATTATTTTTTTGTGTTTGGGTGAACACATCTATTCATGTTATTCCACAAATTTGATGATTTAATTAACATTTTGGCCCTAACATGATAGTTGATTTAAAAAAAATACACCAGTGGCTCTAAGTGCTATATTAATTTTGCCTTTCCAGTTCCTGTGCTTGAAGAACATTCGGACTTTCCTGACTTCTTGCTGCAGTGTGTTTGGGATGAAAAAAAGTGACCTGTTTGAAGCCTTCGATCTCTTTGATGTTCGAGACTTTGTAAAGGTAAACCCCCGTTCATCACGATGGTTTTCCGTCGCTGCACAACGAATCTGATTTGATATGTGATGACATTTTCCAACAACTGTCAAAATTATTCTTTTCTCTTTATTTCTGGTCTTTTCTATTTTTTTTCTATTAGTTGCCTACTTTATCTGCAGTGATTTATAAAAGTCTATAAGCTTTTAGGGATCTTGTACCTTTATAAGTTGTTTTACAAGGAAGTCGGTTTGAGCAAGCACATTATATGCTTTACACTGTCAGAGCTGAGCGATGATGGCGGAATTGGATGGAATTAGGAATAATAACATTTTGAGATGCAAATATGTGAACATTTAGTTTTTGTTGTCCAAACTCCTCACAAGTCATGAAAGAAGTCACAAAAATGTTGCTTAGAGCACAAGGAGAAAAAACTACTTTGTTAAAAAACAACAAAATAACATGAATTAAAAATAAAATTTTTTGAGAAAAGCTTAATATTCTGAATTGAAGACTCTCAAGCAAAATCTGAAGTGCGTAAACAAGTGAGGTTTTTGCAGATGATACTATGTGATATAATCGTGTGTAAAGAGAGAGAAAAAAAAACATAAAATGGAAATCACCAAAAGTTCAGTGAGTTGTCGTCACTGCATCAGTGCTGAAATCCATTTGGTCTGCTCTAACTTCACAAACTGTCTATAAATCCAGTTGCACATTGAGGTTTTCACAATGAAGACCTTTGTGATATAGAACCAGTCAGATGAAAGATTCCTCTTCACCTGATGGAGACGAGGCTTGTGTTTCTCTGTGTGAGTTTGAAAGCATTCAGTATTTGTCCATCCATTGACTGCATTTTTACTGTGCACTTGTGAAGGGATTAGTTGACTTCTTTTTACTGCTGTGTTATTGTGGGAGCTGGCTTCAGTTTGTGTACACAGTGTTACCAGGTCAGTGGGTTTGTAGTGCGCTCCGCCGAGCTCCTCTGTGGACTGTCGCTCGCAGCACTGGAGCCTTTTTATGAAAAACTCTGCTGAAGACAGCACACTCACTCTGAGCAGCCCTTTTTTTCCACATTTCCTTAGTTTAGTGCGTTTGGTGCACAACTTTGCCTTGGAGCAGTAGGAGTTGTCTGGGCATTTAGAGGCTATTCACAGGAAAATACGGCATTATTTGTTTCTTAAGCATTTAGCTTTTGGAGTCTGTGTATTAGTCTGTATGTATTTGTTTATGTAAAGACTGAGCCAGAGCTTTATTAAGCTTAACTAGGGTTATTTTTATATTCAAATATTTTGTCAGAGTATTTATTTTGTGTATTATAAATCATTTATGAGGTATTTTGAGTTTAGAAAATGTCAGGTGTAGTTTGGTACAGCATGTGTCAGCAAATTTTAATGAAAATGAAAAAGCGAGGTTAGACTCTACAGAGACAAAAGCACAGAGGGACTATTTCATTCAGGAACATCTTGCATAATTATACATACTATGCATAATTAGAAAATTGATTTCATCTCCCTGCAGAGAACTGACAGAGGTGGGACTATGACTAAGTGCATATTGAACTTTGTGTGCAGTTTCCCACACAGACTTCTTTCAGTTCAGTGTGTTGTGTTGTAAAGAAGCTTCCAGTTAATCTGGCTGCTGATAATCCCACAGGGGAGGCGCTGCCTGCAAATATGTACAGGACATCCAAGCCAGGCTGCATAATCTCAGTCATGGTCAAGGGTTGTCCATCAAACAAACAAGCTTCCGGAGGGGAAGATTGCACTGCATCATTATGTTTTTTTTTTTCACAATTAGTTAGAAATATGGGTGTCTGCAGGTTCAGCAGCTGGGTTGGATTGGCTCCAACAAGTGCTGTACAGCTGAACACGAAATGCTCAATCTCTTCCTTATTTGCCAAGGGAACATCTCAAATCTCTGCCAGTCTAATCCACTTGGGGTAGAGTTGTGCCAACTCTGCCCATAGATTGAGCATTAGTTCACCGAATATCTAATGAGAGTTCTCTAACCTACATTCCTCTGCTGAGTTACTGCTGGCTTCACCACGGTCAGGCTGGAGGCCAGAGAGACGAAAGGAAGAGGCAACAGTGTGTTTATTTATTACTCCAAAATAAAATAATATCAACCTCTTGACTGCATTTAAAAAAAACTAAATATTTGCTTACTAAATTCAGGTGAACAGGGAATTGTATTTTATGTTAAAAGATGACTATTTGTTTTTGGCATATGGGGAAATAATGTTATTGGCTTCCTGGCAAAATGTCCACCACGTGTCTGCACGGTAAATATGAGGCTACTGTCAGCAGTCTACTAGGTCACCTTAACATGAAGGCGAGAAAGGGGAAACAGCTAGTCTTCCTCCATTGAGAGGTTACGGAATTAGCAGTAATTAGACGAGAACGTAGACTGCAGACCTCTGCAAAAGCTCTGTCCCACTGGTGGCGCTGCAGGGCTTGAGCTGCAAACAAGAACATTTACTGGGTTTGTCCTTTGCCCATGCTCCACCTGTTCACTAGCTGTCATTAAAATAGACAGACAGACAGACAGACAGACAGACAGAGAGCACTGAAAATGTAAACTCCTTCATGGAGGTAAAGAACATATGAAGTTCTGGGTGTCTCCCCCAGGGCCTACTTTATTTTGGGGATTGACTGATTTTCTGTCTGGTCAATTATTTGATGTGATATTCAACATTTTCCAGTTATCAGTATTATATATATACATATTTTAACCTAATCCAGGTAGAATAAATTCATTTAAAGGTGCTTTTTTGTAACTCTGACACCGCTGCCTCTTTGTAGCTGTCATAACCACAGTGTGGTCTGGAGCGATATCCTGCCCTCAGCGCTGGCACCAACGTCTGACTGCTTACACACCAATCAACACCGAAGGATAAATGTTATATATATATATATCTTTTTTTAAATGAAACATCTAAAACATAAACATACAATGGCATTTCAACAGAGTTGTAGAGTTATAGACTTGTATTGCTTTACTCAGCTCCAATAACTGACATAAGTGTGAAAACAAACTCACACTTCCCACATCATTCATTTTGCTGTTTCCACCTTCAGCAACTAAATAGAGAATTAAAAAATCCATTAAGTTTCACTGAACACATTTTGTAATGCATTCTTGATCATAACTTGCTTTGCTAGAAGTCTCTGCTTGCCATTGTGGGGCTATACATTCATCAGAGCGTTGTCAGAAATCTGATGGACACTTGGGGATCTGAAAATGTTTGAAAGACTACTTGACTGAAACACATGTTTAGATTACGGTGCATTTGGTGTTACAGTTTCATTAGACAGGGTTGATGTATTACATTGTGTCTGTTTTGGGACAGTGTTCTGGGGACTTAAGATAATGTAGGCCACAGTCACCAAGGCGGTCAGACTTCAGCTTAGCTTGTGGCTTTGCTTCTCTTGTCACATGTGGCTTAAACTAAGTTTCATCTGCAGAGTAAGGTGTGAGAACAACTTGTTTTTAAAACAGCACAGAAGGATTCACACCTTAAAGTAAACAGGTGTTTAGATGTTTCCCTGCTGTATTCATATGAGTATGTTCTTCTTTTTCTTCAAGACAAGAGATGTTCAACTTTTCCTTCCTTAGTTACTCGCACCACCTGTCTACGCAGTAGTCTGTTTCCTGCAACCCTTCCTATTGTTAAATCAGTTGTGACACGTGTGATATGTGCAACAAATTGTTGGTAAAAAAAACGCCACCGAGATCAAGTCAGTCATGAAATATAATGTTTACAACTACAGAATGCTCTCAAAGCAAAAATTCAACGGGGATTGAAAGGCTCGATAGTTCACAGTAATTCATCAGGTTTCTGAAGTCAGTTGAAATGTGACCTTTAGGATCTGAGCGTATTTCGGGTATAGAGTCATGGAAAATTGATGCACAGCTACGTACAACTCGTTTGCAAAGTTAAATCATCTCACTTCAAATGCAAATATTTTTGTTTGTTTCAGGAAAAAGCCTGTCGACTGCTTTAAATAACTCGTGATTATGCAGAGGCCTTTTGCCTATTTAGAGATTACAGACAAGAAGCTTTTAAGTCACAAGCACACCTGGGTTCAGCCAAAGCCACAGCACTCATTCACACAGGAAGAGGAGATAAACTGCAGATAGACAGGCTGTTACATCTAACCCCGTCAGCTATCATTTTGAAGAATGCCTTCAAATCCAAACCCTTTGACACGCTGTGGTGCTGTTAATAGAAACCTCTTCATACCAAACCAAATTATACAGTAAAGAGTTCAGTAGCAAATGAATAGCTGTCTTCTACTAATCCAGATGTTAGAATATTTCCCTTCACTGTTTCTCTGACAGCATTTACTGATTGCACTGTGTGAATTGTTGGGACTCTTGTCATAACACTAGCCACAAGAGTAAAATCGTTTAGTAGAACTATATTTCTGTCAGTTAATCTATCCAGTATTCTATCAGTTGATGTAAATTGATGATTAACATTTAATTGAAGGGATTTTTTTGTTAGTAAGCTGTATGCCATGACACGAAACAAAACATAAACAAAGAATACACAAAGAAATGTGTTTAAAGTAGTGGCAGGCGACTTTAGGGTGGAATGAGTGTAGTATTTAGCAGCTACACGTTCAAAAGACATTCAAAAGCTTTCCCTACTAATGAACAGACAACACCTACAGTGGGCTTACCCCTTCTGGAGGTGCATCTTCCACATTACCAGCTGTGTGTTTTCTCTGCAGGTGTTTGTGCTGTGCTGCTGTGATCCACATTCTGCACTGTGTACAGACAATCTGTTTGTTCTGTAATGATTTGATGTCCTCATTGGCTTTCAAGGCCTTGGGTCTTTCTGTTAAGGAGGTTGAACTCTGTTGCACCTGTCATTTTCTGACTGCACCCATGACTGGAGTCAAAAGTGACAGATGTCATGAAGCAACAATTGCACAGTGCATTTTAGCAAAAGATGCATCAGTTCAAAGTATTGATGTCAGTGATGTCAACTAACTGTGTGATATTTTGAGCACTAAGAACTATAAGAGAAGACAGAACTATAAGAGAAATCACATAATTTCTGCTCTCCATTCATTTGTGTTCGTAGATCTATAGAGTCACACAGGATATTATCACAATTCTTAGGTATTTACATCTAATAGTGAGCATCACCCGTAAGTTTTTAAGGTGTACTTTTACATCTGCAGAATTAAACTGTGACTGAAAAAGTGCAGATCACTCTAAATCACTACCACTTTCAGAAGTGTGCACCTTTCTGTTAGTATGACAGCACTTGTCGGTATGTGACACACATACACAGACCTCAAGATCACACTGACACAAGCACAGCGTGATGCAAAGGAGTGGGTTTGAGGTAGCATGACCATTTCCTGTGGACCATTTCGCCTCCGTCGCTGTCTGCGTTTCCTCCTTTCACATGATTCGAATTTGATTTACTTGCATAATGAAGTACAGTAGCAATGTTCTGAATAACTTTTTTAGAATGTAACACAGGAAAAAAAAAATAACGTATGGTTTCTCGGTCCTATACAGCATACTACCCAAAAGAGCATACAATTATAGCACAGAGAGAAGTCTTATGAAGAAAAATAAATGTTAAAAAAAAATTGCTGTTCACTTTAATGATGATGTAGTTTAACAATTTAATGCAATGTAGGGTGCTCAGTACAGTTTAATGTATTGCTTCATTGTTCTTTGCCAATATTTTGCTGCTACTGTGAGGAGCACATTTTTCTTGGTACTTGACTTTTATCTTAGTGTTGTTACTAACTTCATGTGTGCACATTAACCACCCCAACAGCAACCACCACTCTGTATTCTCTTTTAATTATTGTTTTGTTTTGCATTTTATTTCTTTATGAGACAGTAATGATAGAAAGATGCCAGACAGTTAGTGGAAAAGTTGGACAACAAAGCTCTATAGTGAGATATGACCATGAAACATTGCTTTTTATGGTTGGTGTCTTGACTCCAAAGTCAGAGGTATTCATACCTGACTTTACTTTTTCATAGCAGGAGTTATTGTGTTGCTGCATGCTGAGAAACTGGTAATTAGTTCTTGTATACAAATGGATGATAAATAGTTGGCAGGGCATAGCAAATGGTTGCTTGCTATTGTGTTGTTACCAGTGTGTTTATACATTGCCTCTATAGCTTTGGTATGATTACAGGACTGCAATAGGTGGTTGCTAAACAGTAGCTGCTCAGTGTCTTAAAGATCAGTGTCAGTGTTAAAGATTCCATATTGTGCCCCTTGTCAGCAAATTCATGAAAGTCTCACATGCCTTCATAAAGGATTTTTTCATTTTTCAGCTCCAAAATACTGCAGAGGTGGTTCACTTTACCACATCTGTAAAACACTGTTTTTAGTTTCAGTGTCTATAGGCTTTAAATGCTGCTGCTGTCCACGCTGCCGTCAGGATGAAGGCTCAGTGCGTCAGTGATTGACAATGCAGGGCAGAACAGTTATCATGGCAGCTGACACAGACATGAATGAGTGTGTGAGATCAGGACCTTTTAAAATTGTTTTTAACTTTGTCTCTAAGCGATCATTTGGCATTGAATTATTGTAGAATTGATTGCACAGCCGTTGTTTTTAACTCCTGTGCGTGGAGAGTTTGTGAGACGCTGTCACGAGTATAGAATCAGTAGTTTAGTGGTGCAAAGCAGCAGCTTGGAAATGGTTTTGATGTGACTGCAGTGTTGATGGGCTGTCTCAGGCACAATTTCATACTTGTTTCATTGTCTGACAACAGAAACAGAATAATATGTTAATAACTTAAATGGGAGTTTGTGTACATTAATGTGCACTATATATGTGCACACAGAGGAGAGAGGTAAACAAAGGATTGACAAGGCCGTCTTTAGTTTTCACTGAAGTACAGCAGGTGATCAGTAATTAATCCTGTCCTTGTTGATTGGTTTCAAATCACCCTTAAAGTTCCTGCCATTTCTGAATGTCCCGCAGCATCACAGTTTCCACAGCACTCTGTACTGGGGGCGCATGATTAAAGCTAACGCTGCACAACAGGCCACCACTAAGGGTTTTTCTATTGTTGGGGTCACATGCGTTAAAAGTAATACAGTGGGTGTTCAGTTTCTCAGATGCTAGGAGTGCTTGAAGACTATTGTGTTTACTCTTACTGCCACAAGACAAAATAAAAATGGATTTTCACCACATGGGACTTTTACTTGGTGGTAAAAATGATTTATGAAGTGTTTGCTTTGGTGATTACATTGGTCACGAGTACATTTCCATGTGTTTGTTAAGTGGTTTGTACATTTGTCTGTGCTGTGTTCACATCAAGGGAGGGATTTTAGGGATGAAAAAGATTTTCTTGTTAATAACTAGCAAGCAGACTCAAACACACTGTGCATGGAATATATAAAACTACACCACATCCACTGTAACAAGACTCAAAGATGGACTTATTTGTTGGGTTTTCGGGCAGTCTGGTATTATTATTAAGCAGCAAATCAAGTATATCAGAGCTTTGAATCCGAGTTCACATTTATAATTAAGGTTTAAACACTGACATTTATACTATGTACAACACATAAACTGGTAATTACAATAATTCTGACATTAGCATTCCATGCAGGAGCCTCTCTCTTACACACACTCTGTGTCGCCTCTCTCTCTGAGCCATTCAACAACATGATTTCACACGGCTTTGTTTCACCAGGTTATGGACACTCTATCCAAGCTCTCTAACACAGCAATTGCTCAGCAAGGAGGATTCAAGTAAGTCACCAAATTCAAAAGAAAACAAAAATGTGCTGTAGTTAACCTCTCTGTACCTGCATCTTCCTCTCACCATCACATTACCTCCTCTTCCTCCCCTCTCCAACACTGACGCCACAGTTTGAGCCACATCCCACTTGCTACATTCCAGTTATGAAATCTATGAGCAGTGAGAAACCACAGTTTTTTGTTTGTTTGTTCCCTTTAAAATACAGATTTTATATTTAAACAATCTATTTATTTCTGCTTAAATTAAGAATATACAAACCACAACCACAAACAACAGCAGTATTACGTTGGACATGACAAAAATAAGATATATATTTAATATACTATATAAATATTTCAGACCAGATGGAATGACAGTGTACACACTGATATCAAAGAAATAAGTAATAGATATTTTTAGTTAAACTGTCTTTTCTTAGCAAAAAAAAACTGCTGTGTTTTTTGTTAAAAATTATTAATTAATCTTTGATCATTTTTGGCATCTACTAAACAGGAGAACAAAGGAGTTGCAGATCTTTCTCAATAATATAAGGCACATGTATTTTGAAAACCTAATTGCTATTTTTCAAGCTGCACTTGTTAGTTTGTCCAAATTAATTATTATCAATCTGTGCCCTTTTATGATGTCCAGAAGCATATTAGACTGTTCTGGATGTCTGAATACATTTTCATACATCAAACGGTAGTTTCTTGACCCCTTGCCACGCAGCAGCAGCAGTTTCTTCCTAGAATTTTTTTTTTTCTGTTAAGCACTGAACCTCACACTGCTTTGCTTTTCCCTTCCAGGCCATTTCCAACAGAGGAGAGCCTTAAAGACGAGGACATTTACAACAATCTGGAAGACTTGATCGAGTATGTATGAGGCTTCTCTCTGCGGGCCCATTACGGGTGCTGATAAAACGTCATCGTTTCACTCAGTAACAAAACCTACTCTGCTCATCATCTATGCTCCCCAGGGGTCCTGACACCCACATGTTTTGGTAAAAGGCTTGGCTCAGTTTCTTTGTTACTGTCAGAGGAAACAAATGAGTAATCCTGGTTGTTTTTGCTGAGTGCTTGCATACCACCCACATCAAGGCTCTGGATGGGTGCTGTTGACTGTTAGATTGATAGATAAAGAAGGATTAGCGTAATTGAATATGGATAGATCAGATACAGTATTTGTAAAGTTTTCATGACACATTTAGGGCTTCATAGGGTTTCAGGTGTAGATTTCTTCTCTTGCAAGTATTTCCTTCAGTGTTACACATGAGCTGTGATCAGCAGTGGTGATGAGATAATGAATATGTGACAAAGAGTAGACATTTGTTTTTCATTTTTTAATTTGTATTCTCTTGCTTTAATATAATGAACTGAAAACAATTTATGCGCTCACTATTTATCACTGTTTGAATTTTTTGCTGCTAAATGATGCTGCTCATACACGGTAAATGGTAGTTATGGTGACTGTAAATAATAATACATAATTACAAATCGTTGCCGCTGCAAGAAGTTACTTGTGATGGATAATTAGCACAATTTAGAGATGTTAATGTGTGTGTGTGTGTGTGTGTGTGTGTGTGTGTCTGTATGTGTGTGTGTGCTAGTGAGAGTGTTCCTGAGGATGAGGATGACTTGTATGCAGCGGTCTATGGGATGGAAGACGACTATGCAGGTGGAGAGATCTACGAAGACCTCATGAGGACTGAACCGCATCCTCCACAGGTACTGCATTGAGTCAGCCTCACACACACGCACACACTCTCAACTTCATATCTTCAACTGGCACATAGAATACTTCAGCTTCATGGGATAGACATTCAACTATAAGCTACAATATTCAAATTGATAACATTTTACTGCAACTTCTCACTTGGTACACCATTTGTCAAGATACTAATAACAATACTAGTCGTACTACTACTAATAGTAATAAGACCTGGGACTCTTTGTTTAACCCCTTCCACCCTGGAGTGCCTTGAACTTGGGCTGAACCTTGTAAAGGTTTCTTTTTCAAACGCTATGAGTAAAACGGATGTTGTGCTTCATTGCTGTTGCATCACTTTTGGTAGAGTTATAGTTGGAAATATTAGAACTGGGTTAATAGCATCAGTTTCATGGACTCCTCGCCATAAGAGGCATTATTGTATTCCAAATGCATCCCTAATCCAAGGTTGTTCATTTTGACCTCACAGTTTTGCATGTGTTACTAATTTATTTTGAGGACGTTTATCTGCTGGAAATTTCAAAAATAGCCCAAGGGCTGAAGTAAAAGTAGCGATAATACAAATTGCTAGTGAGGCCAGGAACCACAGATCGCAAAGATGTGGCTCTGCAGCTAGAGAAACCTGCAGAGAGGACACAATACAAGTACTGTTTCTCAAGGCAGTCTTCACCTATAAATAGAAACAATAATGAGATTGTTTCCCTCAGTTTCCTACACCCTAACAATTTAAAATGGTTTCTTTATAAATATTGACATGTACATTATGCAAAAAAATAAGAAAGGAAAAAAAAGGTTCATGGACGCTCACCATTATCAGTGTGGTAGAGCCATGAGTGAAACCGACAATTAGTTTCAACCCATGTAGGGTCCCATCCTGATAGCTGGAGCTCCCCTTTAGGTTCTTCTCCTCTACTCTCATCTTGCTCTCCTGCTCCTCCACTCTGATCTCCTTCACTTTGTTCCACTGCTCCTCCCTGTCTAATTTTGCTTGTCTTGTACGAATTAAGTACATTGAACATTTAAGGCTTTTCTAATAATTCCTGAGATAATGTAATTCAAAGATGTATGTATTTATTGTTTTTTGCAGAGCTTGAAAAACAGCACCTTAGCATTGGCGTACAATTGTACAAACTCCTTGTCTCTGATCTTGCTTGTATCATGTTTGAACAGCGCGTGCCCATCCTCAGGGCTTTGGATGCGCTGTCCAGTGTCTAATGCTTGAACAGCTCTTAACCTGCTGAGAACATTTTGATGTTTCCGCTGTCACCGAATCTCTTTTGACCGCAACTGGAGGTGATTTCGGCCACCTCAGTCCCTTCTCATCTGCTCCTTCACCATCTGGTTACACTTCTTCCTTATGGCTGTGTGAATGGTGTTGTCAGAGGAGTACATGTTCCAAAACTTCAGGTGTTCTCGCACCTTCTCGATGGGGCAATATAGCAGCTCAGCCACTGCAAAGGGATTGGGAATCTTGCTGTCCACAAATTTAATGGCTGTGAAGATTCTCAGTCATCCAGGTCATGGTTATTCTGGTAGATTAATTGTAGCAACTGGACTTGTTTGAGTTCCTTGAAGACATTTCACCTCTCATCCAACAGGCTTCATCAGTTCTGACTGACTAGTTGGGAGTTCCAGATACTTGTATCCTAAAGGAGCGATTAACACCTGAGTTTTGGTCTCAGTTGGGGGTTTGTTGCTTCTCCCCCTCGTTATATGGGTCGTTAGTGCTCCCCCCTGCCACAAAGGGGTTCGTTAGGGTCTTTTGTGGCTAGGTGTGACTGTAGTTTCATCTTCCTGGGGAGAGATCTTAGGACTGAATTGTAAACAGGTGAGAGATGATACCTCAGACTTCCACCTCTGTTGAGGGATGGTCTTTCCAGTTTGACATAGATGGCTTTTTTCACCCCTCTCTCAAACCATCTGTCCTCCCTGGCCAACAGCTCACTAGCTCCCCATTGCCCTTCATGCAACAGTACTTGACGGCCCTGCTAAACCTCACAGTGGTAGACACACACAGCTGAGGTTCCTAAGCCTGAGACTTAAGGCAACAACCGATGTCAGGTTCACCTTCTTGCCATCCAGGAACTTGCTGTTCCTTCTAAAGTAGATAATACGAGCCACCGTTCATGTGGTGGAACTTCTTGTTTTCAGTGCGCAGCAACTGGAAGAGTTGGATTTGTTGACAGGAGGGAGTGAGAGTTGTGAAGTGTGCGGGCATCTCGAGGGTCATGTCCCAAAATTCAAACTTGTTACCCGTTACCCCTTTTGGCTGCTCTAGGCTCTGTAGTCCTGGGACAAACAGTGCCTCTTGCATGAAGCACAAATTCACATTGCCTTTCCCAGTTGTTGGGATAACGGCAGTGTAGGTTCCGATTATGGACCTGATGCTGTCGTTGTAGATGAGGTTGTGTTTTTCAGAGTATTATGTGACCATGGGAATTACTTTCTTACCGTTGGTACTTTACAGTTCTTCATTCAGCATATAGAAGCTTGTGTAGTTACCATATGCCAGCAGCCTGTGTTTGACACCAGCCTTGTCTACACTTGCCATGGACTCAAACTCATTCCCACCTTCAATATCCACTACATCCATCAGCACAAGCAGGAGTGAACAGGAAGGCTTTTGCTGTATAGTGCCGGCGCCCCGATCACCATGTTCCTCATAGTCTTGTAGACGGTTTTCAGTTTTGTCTCTTTCAGATAGTTCCTCTTGCTTGCATATCATCAGCTTGACCACTTCATCAAACAGTCCTTGTGTGCTTTTGCAGATGAAAACGTCTGTGTAATCTGAATTAAAATACCATGGAGGGTGTTCTGTCACGATAAATTTAAGCGTTTTATCCTCCATGTTGTTTTGTATCGCTGTATAATATCACTCAGTTTCCAATACCACTATAAAGCCTAGTGTGCAATCAACCAGGCTGTACACAATAATAGGCGCACTGTAGTCTAACAGTTGAGCCAGTTGGGGACCTCTCAAAGCCTTGCAGGCTGTAATTCTGATCGGGCCTGTGTAGAAGCTTTTATACATGCCAGATTTTGCATGTGGACAGATGGCATCATCGTGAAGATCCCAAAGAAAGGAGCCATGAGTAAATGCAACAGTGCCAAGCAAGATCCTGGCAAAGATCATCATCCAGCGAAATTCAGAGGGAGTAGATCAGTGAATGAGAAACGAGCAAGCAGGTTTTTGAAACGTAAGGGGATGCAGATATTCACCCTGAGAAACATCATTGAGCAGTGCACAGAATGGCAGAGACAGCTGTACATCAGCTTTGTAGATTTCAAAAAAAGCCTTTGATGGTGTCCACCAAGATAGTCTTTGGCACATCCTGAGGGCATACAGCAGATTGTCCATGTCATCCAGAGCTTCTACAACTTCACATGCAGGGTGGGGAAAAGCAAGTCCAGTTTTGAAGTCAAGACTAGTGTCAGGCAAGGCTGTTCAATGTCGGCGCTGTTTTTCAACATTGTTATCGACTGGGTGATGCAGCGCACAACAGACATGCCATCAGATGGACCCTCATGTCAACGCTTGAAGATCTGCTCTCACACACCCTGTCAAGTTATTTGGGTTCTGACATCAGCTCTGCCTAAACTTGAAAAAGGCTTGGAGGTAGTCACAGATGACGATTGGGCAACTCAGCTCTTGTTTGCTTTGCTTTAATTTTTGCACAAGTATGACGCAACATACATGGTAGCTCAAAAGCAGTAGTAGTGGTAGTAGCAGTAGCAGTAGCAGTAGCAGTAGCAGATTGATAACCTTTAAACACACAACATGACACCAGTTATTGGTTTAAACATTTCAAAGAAAATAAACAACTCCAACTTAAATGCAATAACATTTCTTTAACCACATAGCATCACTATTATCAAATTAAAACCAGGAGTTTAATCAAAATTGAATCTTAAATTGCTAAACAGTCATACCAATAGCGTTTCTGTAGGTCCTCCACACTGATGTCAGCATGGAAACCTTTGTTCCAACTGATCCACCAGATCACACACAGCCTCCACCAATTTATCTGATTATCAGTCACCTGACCTTTCAGCTCAGCGCTGCCCTCAACTGTCACATTACAAGACTTGCTTTGGTATGAAATTATATTAACACAAGAAAAAATAAATAAATAAATACTCATTTTACTTTTAACTCAACACACCCATCAGCACATGCAAGAGAAGACGTCCTTTCTTTGCAGCTTTGCACAAACAGTAGGCCTGAAGCTCAGCCAGAAGAAGACAGAAGTCATGATGCTGAATGTACAACATCCCGCACCAGTCAAAGTGAACGGAGAAGGTCTTCCAACAACTGAGGAGTTCACCTACCTTGGCAGCATTGTCAGACATGATGGTGAAGCGGACAGTGATATCAAGAATCGCATCAGCAAGGCCAGAAACGCCTTCAGAATGATGAACAATGTTTGGAGGTCATCCCAGTACAGCACCAACACCAGACTAAGACTGTATCAGAGCTGTGTGCTTTCCACCCTACTGTACGACTTGGAATGCTGGAGGATAATGGAGTGTGACCTGAACAAGTTGTCCACTTTCCATACAAAGAACCTAAGAAGGATCCTGTGTATTTTCTGGCCTGAGACCATCTCCAACCAACAACTTCTCGCCCGTTGTAACCAAGAGACCATAGAGACCATCATCATGCGAAAGTGTTGGGGATGGATCTGATGTGTCACCTGCAGAGAGCAGGGCAGCATCACCCGCACAGCCCCACATTGGACACCAGAAGGAAAACGCAAGCGGGGACGACCCAAGAACTCCTGGAGCCGGACTGTGGAAGGGGAGCTCAAGGCTCTACAGCATGCCTGGGGAACCATTCAGAAGCTGGCCCAGAACAGACAGGGGTGGCCATCCTTTTTTGATCCATTAAGCGCGCTGTAGCTAAAGAGTTGAGCCAGTTACGGTCCTCTCAACGCCTTGCAGGCTGTAATTCTGATGGGGCCTATGTAAAAGCTTTGATACATGCCAGACTTTGCATGTAAGCTCATTCCCTTTCTGTTGTTTGGATATCCAACCACAGCTGAAGTATCCAGCTGCGGCTGTTTTATCCGATCATGGTTGACGTTTCCAACCACAGGTGAATTATCGAACTATGACTGTTCCAACCAGGCTGTACACAACACTGAGCACACTGAGTTGATGCAGTTTTTATTGTAATAAATAAATATGTCGACCTGAAGTTATCTTTCTGTTTCATCTCTGTCAAACCTTTCAAACCCTCCTGTTTTAGATCTGAAGACCTCAAAAGACACAGCAGATTATTCGGTTATTATTTTACCTGATAATGATGATGAAAAGTGTGCAGCAATTAGTCTTTTTGTATACTAATGTAGACACTATACAAGTCAAATGGAAACTGTTCTAATTTTCTTATTTATATTTAAAATATTTTAGTTGATATTGCTTGGACCTACAAGGGCTGATCTCTGCAGTGACCTGCTGTTCTGACTGTCCGTCTAGTCATCAGCCTCCTGCTGCACCTTATGGCTGTGTGATGCATGCAGGGCCAACTGCCTATTATCTTGCTTGTTCAGTGCATATACACTTTCTTGTGAAACAAAGTTATAAAAAGACAGATCAGATGATAATATCCAAACAACATTTTCTGAGATATGTGTCTTTCTAGAAGCAGGTGGAGATTGACGTCCGAAGCTGCTGCCTTACAGAGATCAAACAGACGGAGGAGAAATACACAGAGACCCTGGAGTCCATTGAGAAGGTACTGAACCTCCTGTGCATTGAGATCACATGTTGCTCATGACAAATAATAGATTTCTCTGTGCCAAATTCTTACATCCTAATTTGACTTGTAGTAAATGATTAATTATTATCATTTTAGCATCATATTTACAGTACAGACTTCAACACACTGAACACAAAGGTGGTGTATTTTAGGGGCATTTGAGGGAAATTCACCGTTATCAATCCCCTAATTTGCCTGGCTGTTGGCCTGTTCTCACACATCTACTGTGTCGTCGGTTAATGGTTTCAGTATGAGTGTCACTAGTTGTGATAAAGTTTTCCGCAGAGCAATATTTAAGAGAGAAGAGCTGAGAAGGGGAGCTGGAATGTTTCATTTAAGTTTTCTACTGTTTTGTTCTCCAGTATTTCTTGAATCCGCTGAAGAAATTCTTCTCTGCAGCTGAAATTGACAAAGTTTTTGTCAACATTCCAGTAAGTCCCGCCTACTAGTTTCCCTTCTTGCCACATGAAGGTCACAAAAATAGAATCTTTGTGTTCAGATACTGATGACCTCCTTCTCTGACGCAGGACCTGGTTGAAGTTCACAAGAGCCTGACGGTGGATGTGCAGGATTCCATCCTGAACAAAAATGCCTTAAATCTCTACCAGATCTTTATCAGCTACAAAGAGAGGTATCAGAGAGGTTATCAGCACATTGCAAGTTGATTTTTGGTGCTGTTTTTTTCATTTGAACTTTTTATTTTGGTGAAAAAAAATGATGGAACACTATTAATTTGCTGATAGTAATTTGTTAAAGCTCATTGATTGATGTCTTCCTAATTTGGCTTGTGTTGGTCTATATCAGCTTTAGATGTGCAGCAGGTGTCACTTTAGGTTCACTATTTGTTGTCAGTATACAAGCAGAAACACTACAATACACTGACTGAAAAATACTGATGCACACATATATACATTACCCCTGAGTCAGCTGGGATAGATAGACTCCAGCCCCCACGCAACCCTAGTGAGGATTAGGCAGTGTATAGATAATAGATGGATGGATGGATGGATGGGCATACATGCTTCTTTTATGCAACCCATGTTAACCAGGTCTTCACACAGGTAGCCATACATTTGAACTATATGACAATATTAGTAAAGCTTAAAAAAGCGTAGACTGATACTAAATGTTGCTTATGTTTTCTTTTTTTTGAGTGCAGTGTAGAGGACTGTCCAAAAGGAATCTGTAGCAGAGAATCTTTTGACACCATCCTTAATACTAACATGATTGCAAACTTATTGTGATTTATACTTCATAGTTTCCGTTATTTTGTTTAATTTGTTCATTTGTGTTACCCTCTATGCACCTCTGTGTTCTTGACTTTAACTCACTGGGCCTCATGCCCTTACTGACTTTCCTCTCACTTGTAGGCTGCTCATTTATGGGATATACTGCAGTCGGGTGGAGATCGCCATTGCTGTTTTAGATCTCATCTGCAAAGAGAAAGAGGATGTTCGACTGAAGCTGGAGGTGAGTTATATGATGAAGTGTCTAAAACACACAGACATAACATCCTCCTAGATCTAGTGACCTGTTATGTATGACTTTGTGCTGTGTTATGTTCTGGTCCACTCTCAAAAATAAAACAAATATGCAAAAGACTTGAATAAATGATTTAAAATAGCACAATAGTCAGACATTAAAACAACTGAAATACATGTAAACGTAAAATGCTGTGGCTTGTTCTTTGAAATTTTTTTAAGCCACTTAAGTCTAATGTTAGAAAGTATCTGCTGTGATATCATCTGGACTGTTTAACATGTGAGTCAAGAAGCAGAGGGGCATCAGAGGGGCAAAGGTTTGTGGCATCTTATATCTGCAGTTCTTTTATACTCCCCCCCCCCCTTTTTTTTTTTTTTTTACTCCCCCCCCCCCTTTTTTTTCTTGCACATATTTTTACTTTTTTTTCCATTGAAACTCAATTGCCAATATTGAATTCAGTAAGAATAAGGTGCCTAAAAAACACACAAAAAATACACACACAAAAAACCCTACAAGCAAAATAAAAAAATAAAAATAAAGTAAAAAATACAAGTATCCTCTGTTCCCAGCCATCTGCCAAAATATTCAGAACAGTCTTAGGGTGGCTTTCTTTTCTAGTAGAAATAATACTGATATGTATCCCAAACCTGTGGGCTGAACTACATTGTATGTAATACAGGCCTCAACATGGTTAATAACTGTACCAATGACCTACACACATTCTTACATGTTTGCTGAAAACCCCTGAGAAAAGAAGAACAGTTAATTTGCCATCAGTTCATAAATCACAAGAAAAGATTTTCATCACCTCAGCAAATTGTGAAGATATAATTTGCTGTCAACACATAAAACAAACCACATCAAACAAAATAGCTTAAGATAGATGAAATAGGTTGAAAGGTATTTCATAAATGAGCCCTGAGCTCTGTCATAATGTCATAATTAGATAACGCTGACAAACTTCAGGGTTAGTGACAAGTTTGAATCCTAAAACATTCAAGGGTATAGAGGTATAAGCTGTGGTATGGCACATGACACCTTAACTCTGTGTATTGATGCTGAATGTATATATCTATGTTGAATTTGTTCCAGGAGTGCTCCAAAAGAGCCAACAATGGGAGGTTCACACTGAGGGACCTGCTGGTTGTCCCGATGCAGAGAGTCCTCAAATACCATCTCCTTCTACAGGTCAGCAAAGTTATTATTCTCTAATTTAAAGCAGAAGGTGTCACAGAAAACTGAGAGTCTGTAGAGCTTTTTTTTTTTTTTTTTTCTGTTTAGTGATTCGTTGATATTATCATAAATCAAGTGAATACCTTATCACTAGATTTAAAACCCCTGATTAGATATGTTGGGTCATTTTTGTGTGGTTTTACTGACTCTGAGTGGTTGTGTTGAAAAAAAAACCCTTTATTTTATTCTTCTTATTATTAGGTTTTTTCTTGTTTTTTAGTTTAGTGCACATGTAACTACTTTAGACTGAAACTAAGAATTATTATTATTATTTTTTAGCTCTTTTCTGTTGGTCCAACGTTTTCTTGCAGTGCATATCACTTACCACTTGAGGGCGACATCCTCCACATGTTTGCTTCATTATTTCCCCCCTTCAGGGTGATATTTTGACATATCATTTAGATCTCCCATTTAGGCTTGATATCTGACATTTCAGAACACAAATGCAGTAAAAATAATTTCGTGTCAAAACATCCCATGTTATAAAATTTCCGGATTTTCCCTCGACCCTTTTTGAAAGGAGGATTTCTGATTCCAAGACTGCTTTCAAATGATATATCTACATCTAAAGTCATCGTTGCATTTGTGCTGATTTGATACATCAGTTCATAAAATCAGGCGTGTTTTCCAGATCAGTTTTGTATGAAACAGTCATTCATACGCTGGCTTTCTACAGAAACCAGACATGCAGCCTTTTCAAAATCCTTCTAATTTCAGTGCTGACTGATAAACTGTATGGCACCGTCTCCCCTGGTTAGTATGAATCAAAGGTCAGGCAATAGCTGGCAGGGCAGACGAGGGCAGTGCCTAGAGAGCTGTTTCAAATTGTTGTGGATGGTAAAGGCCTGCGTGGCAAATGGTATTGATCCTGGGAGTTCTCAGCTGCCCCCTGAGGACAAACTGTGTGATGGGGGCAAAAAGGGAAGACAGGGAAGAGGAAGTGGTGGCGCAGAAATGAAGAGAGAAGATACAGCTCAGTAGGGAATCTGTAGCCGTCATGCTACGGACACACTAGTTTTAAGAATCGCTAATCTCTTTATTTTATAATTGTTATCATAGAGGTAATCACAACTGCAGGGATTCCACACACCTTTGATAACACGTATAATGGAGCTATGATGATTCAATTTTGCTGATGGAATTTTTTTTGTTATACAAAGCAAACCCAGCAAAATCTAAATTGGCTACATGTGTTATTAAAAACAGCATCTTTCTAGAAATAATATGAAATGGCAACTATGACAACAAATGAAGCCAGTGTTTTATTTTGATATATATAGAGTATATATATATATTTGCTGTGGAAACAGTCTAGTGTGAGGTAATTTATATTATGTCTTGTGTTGGTTAACGATTGTGTCGATGCTAATGAAACCAAAGTACTCCTGAGGAGATTCTGGACAGGTTTCATCAACAGACTGATTCCTCTGTGCAGGCTGCACTTCCAGCAATAACTTCCATGTGTTGATTAAAACATGAACGTGTGTGCAGCTGCTGTTGGCAAGATGACGTAGACACGTGCTTTGTTAATTGTACTGTGTCTTTTGGAAAGATAGACGTCTTATTTATTGGGCTATTTATCTCTATTTTTCAGGTAATTAAATATGAACGATTCTATAATTTACTGAGGCACAAGCCTTGCATTAAAATGACTTGTTCTACCTTCAGATGAAATTAAAACTATAGTGCAATGTTCAGTGGTGAAAGAAGTATTCAGATCCTTTATTTAGGTAGCAGTGCTACACTGTGGGAAACACTCCATTGCAAGTCAAAGTCTTGCACTGAAAACAAGTAAAAGTATGCAATATAGTTTAAGTATTCACAAGAGACAATGGCACCTACATTTATGATATTGTATATTCTTGCTAAGTGTAACAAATCAGAGGAACAAATCCTTTTTATCTGTCTCTATCTATTAAGCTTTATTTCTAGTGTATTATAATGTAATTTGTATGAAGCTACACTTGTTACTGCTCTCAGATCAGAGTAAACTGAGAAAATGAGTGATCTGCTGAATATAAAAGGGCTTTTTCCTTAGAAAAAGCTGGAAACTGTGTTTCATACAATTTACTTCAAACTCATCTCCATTATCAAATCAATAATCCAACTTCTGATCCTAAATGTGCTTGTCCATGAAATTGTGTCCGTGTGTGTGTGTGTGTGTGTGTGAGAGAGAGAGTGTTCTTTTAGTCGCTGTCATTTATTTTCTGTTTTTCTGTAACAGGAGCTAGTCAAACACACTCACGATGCTGCTGACAAGAGCAACTTGAAGATCGCTCTTGATGCCATGAAAGTAAGTGCAGTGCTTATGGTAAATGGTGAGCAATCATTGTGATTTCAGATTGTTACCAAAAGCAGGGTGGTTTAGCAGATAATTTAAAACGGTCTCTGCCATTCATCTATCAGCTTTATTCCATGAAAAAAAAAAAAAAAAATTGAAGTCTTAAATTATAATTTGTTGCTTCAAATGGGGGTAAATTGATAAAACTTTGCATTTACATTACACTGTTGAGCCCTCCCCACTAATCTGAAAGGTACCCCGAGTTTGATCGCCAGCTCACTTGAGCACTTGGCAACTAAAATGAAGCAGATACACGACTTGAAGGCTGGAGTTTGTGATCACAAGAGTCAACTAAGAATAAAGTATTTCACTATATTAATATATATATGGCATAAATGCTCTGCTAACAAAAAGCACAAAAGCACTGTACAACACAAACATACATGCATTATGTTAAAGGAAGAATATGTAGCATGATGTATGCTTATATGATTCCACTCTCATATCTGTATGTTGAGTATGGGGGGGGCAGCTTCCTTGGCTTTGTCTGAGGGTAAGAAAATCTACTGTTCGGTGAATCTAAAGCCCTCGTTATATCTTGTGCTTTTAATTGGTACCACAGAGGCATTAAGTGGTAGACTAACCTCCACAAAACTACAACCTTTTAACGAGTTTGACCAAGTATAGCTGGTCCACCAATTTTCCAACCTTAATGCTAAGCAAAGTTATGATAGGCTGACTTTTTACTAGTTTCTGCTTTAAATTGGACAATCTGATGTGAGGGTGTTATTGATCCCTTATCTAACTCTCAGCACGAGACCAGATATGTTTGAGTTAGTTATATCTGTAAACTGTTTTATTTATTTATTTATTTAAAATGTATAGTAGAGAATATCATCTTTGCAAACAAGTGTGTACGGACTTTTTTTTGACATAATTCACCTTTTCCAACACAATCTGTGTATTTGTGTGTCTGTGTGGGTACGTGTTGCCCAGGACCTGGCGCAGTATGTCAACGAGGTGAAGAGAGACAATGAGACTATACGGGAGATCGACCAGTACCAGAGGTCTATCGAAAACCTGGTAAGCCAAATATCTTTTTCTACAACCATCAGCAGCTGTTAGTGCACGCTCAGGAAGACATGTTTCGTTTTAGCAGCTTTTTAAGGATTTTCTTCCACTCAGCTCATTTTCTTTAAATTTGATATCATTCAGGGGAATGAGCCCGGACAATAGAATAGTAGTCAAACAGCTGTATTAATGTACAAGACACCTCTATATCATAAACTTAAAGAGCAATGCAGGTATAAGGCAGCATACTGCATCAGTGGTAAACTTACACTTTCATTTGAGGACTAAAATTCTAAAAACATGGTGTTCCACTGTAGAGCTGCAAGGGTTGCTGGATTTAGTGAGTCAATCCACAAAATATTCATCAGCAAGTACTTCTATCATTAACTTGCTATTCCAGTGATTTGTTTTATATAATGTGCTTAAAGGGTTTTTTTTTCACATATTTTATTAAAAAAAAGAAGAAAGGGTTTGCTTATGTTGCAAAAATAATTTTGCTTACCTTTTGGCTCTGGGATTATGAAATGTATTTATTTTTTCTATATTCTGGTAATATTACTGTAACCATATGAATAATTACATACTATAGACATGTCTTTATGTTTTTGTCAGAGATTAAGATTATTAAGTGAGAAGGTGGTCAGAAGGAATAAATCCAAATCGGTATCAAGTTGTAAAAGAAGCGTACCTGGTAGCATGAGAGCTTGTCAGACTACAAAGACCTTCTTCTTGTCTTGACTGAACAAGATTGGTACCTTTCATGTCATCGGTGATGACAAGAGTCAACTGGTACCAATCAGCTGATGGTGCAAGAACTTATGTGATGTTTCATTGTGAATACTTGGGTATGCAGCAGTATGGGAGAGAGATGAAAACCAATATAATTTAAGGGGATCCGATTGATCTGTCTGCTGAAGTCATTGTTCTTTGGTTGGGTTACATTTAGAGTAGCTGGATCTCCTTTGAATAAACTGATGAAATGGTGTGTAATGTTAACTGTGTATTTCTGACAGAAACTAGCATTTCTCGAAAAATGCATTTAAAATACATCCCATTTTGCCAGAACTTAGCCCGAGAAATGAAGGATAGTTAAACAAAAGTCTCTTATTTTATCTTTTATCTTCTTTTCAACTAAATGATGCGAGAAGGTTTGATAGATTCCAGTTCTGCACCAAAAGGTTGACATGACCAGCTATAATGCAGATCAATTTTCCAGACTTGACAGAGATGAGGCATTGGTATTGCAAAAAAAAACAAAAACAAAAGGGTGAAATTATGTGCCTAGTGTGATAATATTCATGCCATCTCCCTCATGTGTTGCTTGCAGAATCAGCGACTAATCACTTTTGGTCGACCAAAAGGGGATGGAGAGGTGCGCATGGTCTCCAGTGTTGACAAGAGGAAACAGGACAGGTTGTTCCATTTCATCTTTATTGCCCTGAAAGAGAAATCTGAATTATAGACAAGAAAAACACATCTAAAATGCCTGTTGAAGGTTGCGCTTATGAAACATAGCTATTCAATACACTTACCTGAAGAGTCCAACTTATTTTCCTATATGCAACTGACAGAACATAGGTTTGACCTTTTCATACCGTCGTCTTGTAAAGAGAAGAAAATAATAAAAAGCATGTTACATCACAGTCTATATGATGCTTGAAAGCAAATGAAGTACACTTAATTGATATTGTAAAGCACGGACATATACTCATATAGAATATATAATTGAAAAAAATCTAAATAAGTGACAGTGTAATTACAAAGTGGTATGACTGTCTTCTTATTTTACAGACACATCTTTTTATTTGATGTGGCTGTCATTGTTTGCAAGAGAAGAGGAGACAACTATGAGATGAAGGACATTCTCGACCTCAACTACTTCAAGATCACCAACAACCCCACGTCCGACAGAGAGTGCAAAAAGGTCAGCAGGCTGAGAAAACACAGTATATTATATTCGTGCTTTTACTTTTTACCTTGCATTGCAAAATCAGTATCTACTTCAGTTTTTAAAGGGTTTCTTGATGTTTACTCTTCATCCCCATAAATTACATCACAGTAACGTCGCTATTCTACATCTGCTTGGCTACGGATTTAAAATCAACATAATATTCTGTCATGATCAGAGTGGTGTTTTGTCTTTTTCTGCTGTAGAAACCTGTAAGTGTCCTTTTCATCACCCCGTGCAGTTCATGCAGTATGCTATTTTTTGCCTTGAGGGAACGTTCACAGGCCGTACTGTGGAGAGGACTTGTTGACGTCTTGTTGATGTATGCCCACTGATGATATCTTCTCACTCTAGTGCTGATTACTAATGTGGAACTGACAGCTCATCAGAATGGCATGGTTCTATGGTTTTAATCAAAGGGACTCCATTATCCTCCTCATTTACTGTATTGTGCAGTAACGGTGTGTGTTTATGTGGGATGTGTGCATGACAGCGATTGGTATTTACCATGTACCGTCATTGTCCTCATGTTCTTTTTGGCGTTGAGCCTATATTTGTATGTTTGCTTCCTTTAACAATATTTCTGAATTAACAAGCTTGTCTTCAACATGTAATAAGAGGGTATAATTCTGCCAAACATGCTTGGATATGTCTTTATCCTTCTTTTATATCCCCCTTCCAACACAAAGCTAAATACTTAATCTTTATTTAATTCTGTACAAAACAGCACAGAAATATCCACAGATACAGAGATACTGTGTACTTACACCCACAAACACACACATACCGCAGGTCAGAGATGCTAATATCAGATGAAGAATGTTTGCAGTCCTCCAAGGCTACTTAAAGCTATATATCATTTTCTGCTAAATGAAACTTCAGAGTTTGAATGCAGTGCCACTGAGACCCACACAACCACCAATGATTTAACGCTCAGCAGAACTCTAAAACACTCAGGTCTTTGCAGGCCTGGCCAATCACTGACGGGTAAACCCTACCACTTTTCCCATTATTAGATACGGCACAACAAGCTAGAGCAGTTAAGGATGGCAAAAGCACAGAGGTTTGGGGATTTATTGAAAAAATGCCCTTAAATATACCCATGGGCAAGGCATTTAACCTGAAAGTGCTGCAGTGGTGTTATTTGGTGGCTAGCAGTTGAAAGCTATTGCTTTTCTGGATAGACACTCACCTGACTGTGTTGCTTAAGAGAACAGGAATATTTTACTGCTGGATTTTTCAGTAATAGATGTAATGCCTATCAAATATGGTCAAGATCTTTTACAGATGTCAGACTTTGATGTCATGATTAGAATTTTAGAACTCTCAAAAGCTGGTTTCTCTGAGGCAGGTTTATAGACTTTGCCACAATGTTATCATAGCCTAAGCTTTTCAGTGCTCTTTGGGTAGAACTCTGGTAAAAGCATCCACTGTGGCTGCTCTCTTTTGTTGGTCGGTGAGTCTGGTGGCGCCAGTCTTGTTACCAAAAAACATAGACTAAAGCCAGTGAGGAGAGAGGTTAATTGTTGAAGCTGGATGTAGACAATGACTGGAATGGTTGATGATTCTTTGAGATCACTATAAATCAGACCAGCTAGTCATTCCAGGACACACTTTCTTTGGTCCTATGTCCTTGGTAAAAGTGCTACCAAGGAAAAGGGAATGTAAAGGCTATTCTTGGTGTTTTGCCTTTTGTTGATCAGCTACAATGGAGATCGACAGGGAGTATAGAGAAAGACTGCAGGGGAATGACATGTAGAAAAGCTCCAGTGGCCATAAAGACAGTGATTACCACGTGGCCTTCAGTTAAAGCGAGGAAATTTAAAATAGCAATGTATTAAAAAATGAACCATATAATTGTTATTCTGGTATTTTCATTTTCTTTGAAGTGACTTGTGTCTGTTGGGGTAATAAAGTATAATTTAGTAAAGTAAAATATGTGTATTCCTTTGCTTGGATAAGAGGATAGCATGTCCCACTTCTGTTTAGTATTGCCTGGTATGCGATGGAGCAGTTACCACATGAGATGCCATCAAACGTACACTATATTGCCAAAAGTATTCGCTCACCTGCCTTGACTCGCATATGAACTAAAGTGACATCCCATTCTTAATCCATAACGTTCAATATGACGTTGGTCCACCCTTTGCAGCTAGAACAGCTTCAACTCTTCTGGGAAGGCTGTCCACAAGGTTTAGGAGTGTGTTTATGGGAATTTTTGACCATTCTTCCAGAAGCGCATTTGTGAGGTCACACACTGATGTTGGACGAGAAGGCCTGGCTCTCAGTCTCTGCTGTAATTCATCACAAACGTGTTCTGTCAGGTTAAGGTCAGGACTCTGTGCAGGCCAGTCAAGTTCTTCCACACCAAACTCTCTCATCCATGTCTTTATGGACCTTGCTTTGTGCACTGGTGCACCTTCATGTTGGAAGAGGAAGGGGCTATCTCCAAACTGTTCCCCCAAAGTTGGAAGCATGGAATTGTCCAAACTGTCTTGGTATGCTGAAGCATTCAGAGTTCCTTTCACTGGACTTAAGGGGCCAAGCCCAGCTCCTGAAAAACAACCCCACACCATAATCCCCCCCTCCACCAAACTTTACACTTTGCACAATGCAGTCAGACAAGTACTGTTCTCTTGGCAGCCGCCAAACCCAGACTTGTCCTTCAGATTGCCAGATGAAGTAGCTAGTAGTAGTGACAAATCACTCCAGAGAACGCGTCTCCACTGGTCTAGAGTCCAGTGGCAGCGTGCTTTACACCACTGCATCCGGCGCTTTGAATTGCATTTGGTGATTAATGGCATGGATGCAGCTGCTCGACCATGGAAACCCGTTATATGAAGCTCTCTACGCACTGTTCTTGAGCTAATCTGAAGGCCACATGAAGTTTGGAGGTCTGTAGTGATTGACTCTGCAGAAAGTTGGCGACCTCTGCTCCCTATGTGCCTCAGCATCCGCCGACCCTGCTCTGTCAGTTTACGTGGCCTACCACTTCGTGGCTGAGTTGCTGTCGTTCCCAATCGCCTCCACTTTGTTATAATACCACTGACAGTTGACTGTGGAATATTTAGGAGCGGGGAAATTTCACGACTGGACTTGTTGCACAGGTGGCATCCTATCACAGTACCATGCTGGAATTCACTGAGCTCCTGAGAGCGACCCATTCTTTCACAGATGTTTGTAGAAACAGTCTGCATGCCTTGGTGCTTGATTTTATACACCTGTGGCCATGGAAGTGATTGGAACACATGATCTTGATCATTTGGATGAGTGAGTGAATACTTTTGGCAATACAGTGTATGTCTGCCAACAGGATGGATGGCATGACTTTATAAAGGCATTGTCACTAACCACGCCTCAGACACACAGCATAATGCATGTCCTAAATTGCAGCCTTTTGATTTGCTAATTGCATTATTTCAAATTTGGATTTGAAAACAATTATTTGTTCAACGTTCACTCCATCACTCTCATGCCTGCATGGTATATATAAAGATACTGCATGCAGCTTGCTGGATTAGCACATCCTTTGGAAACAAGGGTAAACAGGTGGCCTGGCTTTGTCTGAAGGGAACAAAATCTTCCTAAAAGCACCTCTAATGCACACACACATTCTATTTGTTTAATCTGTACCAACAACTGCAGTCTTTTTGCTAAACTAAGGTGCTCATCTCCTAGCTGTAGCTTCATATTTTGAAAAGTACCTGTTTTCTCAACTAGACAGCAAATAAATATATTTCCTGAAAAGCCTTTAATTTTTGTCGTGTCATGGGAACAGAGCAATTTTTTTCTGACAAATTGCCTTGTGGGGGTCTAAATTTTTGACTGAAAAAACTCACAAATTAGAGAGATTAGCCACCTTAATTCACAAGACCATAGCATCAGCCTGCAGTGCTTCAGGGTTTTCTTCTTTTGCTTAGCTTTATAACAACCATACACAAGTTTATTTAGCTCAACGGCCATCTTCTAGTATTTCACACATCTATTAATGTAACTCCTTATTACGGAGCATCATGCAGCATTTACACCTAAACCTACAGAGACATCACAGCAAACACCCATGGTACAAATGACACAAAACAAACATGCGCATGTGTTTTAACTCAGACTGTACCTGCAGTGAAGGGACATTTACACAAACGACACTGTTGTGTGCATTCTGTGAGATATTTATTACAGTATAAGTTTAGCCATTGTAGTTTCCCCCGGACACAAATATGTAAGCGTTCCTAAACATGCATCAGAAAGACACATTCGGTGTGATTCCTGTCTTCTGCCTGAACTCCACAGTGGTGCTATGGCTTCTATGTGACACACCAGCAGGGACACACGGGATTCGAACTCTTTTTTAAGACCCGGGAGCTGAAGAAGAAGTGGCTGGATCAGTTTGAAATGGCCATGTAAGTACAAGGAAGCATGAACACCACAGTCGTGACAGGTTGTTTGCCACACAGGAGACCAGAAATCACACTGTGTACTTGTGTGAGTGCACGTGTGTGCATTGTGTTTATTTGTCTTTGTTTGCATGCGTGTTATTCCAAGGCCAAGAGAGGTGTTGACTCTTTCATGTGCACTGTTTGATCAGGTCTTAGCTGTAATCAAGCACACACTGCTAACAACGGCACGATAACACACACACACACACACACACAGCACACAGCACACAGCACACACACACACACACACACAGCACACAGCACACACACACACACACAGCACACAGCACACAGCACACATACACCTACAGAGTAACATAAACTGTTCCAAAGAGCTGCAAAACTACAAAGTCGTTCTGTCTCGATTCTTCAAATCAGTGCTTTATGGAGATATATCTTTGTATTATTTTGTAACAGTGGGAGATTTTTGCAGGCAGATATCCTGTCTGCATCCTTTGTTATGTTGATTTGGGAGAAGACTGTGTTGTTTTGACATTACACTGTGATTGACTGAACAAATGCTTTTGTGTTTGCGTATGTGTGAAAACAATATCCCTGATATGCATGCTGACTATCTGCTATGGCCCTCCTGTATACTTTTTCACTTCTCACACTGTTCTGAATTATTCTTGATATCTGTACTGTAGCAACAGTGCTATGTGTGGACTTAAAACAATGTGTAAATGCACTGCTTCTCCTTCTCCATCTTGAACTGAAAGTATATAGTACCATACCACTAAGCCTTTGACACCCAAAACTTTATGTGCAATTTCCAAAAATTTAAAAAAGAAATACCCATTTTCACTTTAGGCTTGAAACTGTTTTGCCACAGAGGCAGGATTTGTGTCTGAAAACAGCTATGTGTGCCTCTGTGAATTGGGTAATGACACCAGAAGGGGCCAATTCAGAGAGTGAAAATTGTACCTACCTAAGAGGATGTGGGCTCCTGATGAAGGACTCACTTATGGGAGCACTCAGTTTAAGTGGCTTCTGGATGATGTGTTCAATACAACAAAACGTTTTTGTGTCAGTCTTGTTTGTTCTCGTTCCAGAAAAGCTGCCTGTTTCTGTTGTGCGTCCTTCCCCTCTCATATTTGAACAGATCAAAATTAGATTTGTCTGGGCTGATTCAAGCCTCCTTCATTTACTCGTACACATGCACTAGGGGTAAAATTGTAATTTTAGTCAACTAAAGAAGTAAACTCCAGATTATTTTTGCCAGTTTTTTGCAAGTTGTTCTATTTGGCTGATAAAGGAATGATTAGAGATGATTTGTATTTTGAGAAAATCAATAGAAAATTGTTCCCACGACAGAGACAAAAATATAACCATCATGTTTTTTTTGTTTTTTTTTAACCATGCTATCAGCATTGCTCAAGGAAAGTACAAACTCCCAGGGCTGCAAGCTTGCCTTGGTCTTGTCTTCATTTAACCACTTTTTGCTCTTTTTCCCTGCCTAAGATCAAATATTCGCCCAGAGAAAGCAAACCACAACTCCCACCAGTTCAAGATGCACACATTTGAGAGGATCACCTCCTGTAGCTTCTGTCACCTCTTGCTCAGGTAAGATTTAGACATCATGAACTGACTTTTCTATTTTGGATAATTATGTCAACTTAATGAAGTCCCAATAGAGTAAAAATGTTGCTGTGCGGGGTGAACATGAACTGTAACTGCACATATTGTTCTAGGATTGCAAACCATGTGTTATTGCACTGATAGTGTTCATAGGAAAATACACTTTCAAGTCTTTTTTGTATTGAGGGAACACAATGATATTTTAGATTTAAGCTTTCATGAACTTTTCCTCAGGTACTTTAAGAAAAAGGAGCCTAACTTAAAATAGGTTATTTGGGTTTAATTGAAACATATACTGTAGTGTGTATATACACTGCATACTGTAGCAGATATTAGCTGTCTCAGTTTTCAGGAGGTAGTGTCATTTTAGTTTTGGAAAGCTAAGGGACATTTCCTGTGTCATTCTTCTTATCTTGAGAAGGTGACAGTGGCCAGAACATTTTAAAAGTCAAGGACGCTGTTGTACATGAAATATATCCTGTGTTTTACTCTCTCCAGGGGCATCTTTAACCAGGGTTATCTCTGTCTGAAATGTGGCCTCGGGGCTCACAAAGAGTGTCTGGGCAGACTGGGTGTCTGTGGGAGAACAGGTGAGACAGAGACGTCCCCATCCATATGTTTCACTAAAGCCAACATTTTTGGTGACCTTTCGTCCAGCACCATCACCAGGCCTAAATTTCTACGTACATACAAAATACCATAATTTAAAAGGCAGATTGCCATGAAATTTACTGAGCACATCCATGCGCCTTAGAGGAGAACCACTTTACATTGTGGTCACACTGTGAGCTTTCCTCTAGTGGTGCCAGCCTTGTACGTAAGATATCAAACGGCTGGTGTGCTGTGAAATTTGCTGTAAATACACACTTTCCTCCAATTATTATCTCTACATGTAGTAACCCCTTGATTTCCCCTGACTTTGCCACCCTCAGAGTAAAATTTCCACTTCATGCATCTTTGTTTCCTCCTGAAGAATATGTGTTTTGCCTTTGTACATTTTTAGCAGGTTAACAGTGATGCACATTTTTAGTTCTTGCTGAATTTTACTTGTGTGTCTAGCTTTAGGTCTTTGTCACCAGCCTGATGCTGTAGTTGAGGTGCATTACCCTCCCTGAATGCACAGACAGCCAAAGCCAGCTCAGGCCTCTGACAAGCCTTCTAAGCAGAAGTGCTGTGGTCTTTATGCATTCAGAGGCGTGATGAGGCCAGCAGAGGTTGACACTTGAGGTTGTATGTCAGGAAGCCACCACACTCTCATCTTGTGTTCCTCTCACTGTGTCTGTTTCTCACCTCACCTCAGATCCTGCCAAGCCGAGGCCCAAGGTAAGACCTGCTCTGTTTCTCTTCTTTGACTTAGACACCTAAGCTAATGTAATTAGTGAATATAGAGGATGTACTCCCATGCATATGCAGACAGAGCATTCAGGCACTCTTATCTGCCGACAGGGATAGATGAGGAGAGATTTTGTTACCCTCATCAAAAAATAAATGCATAAACTGTTAAATTGTTAAAGGAGTTGGTAATATCAGTAACAGTGCCTTTGGATTTTGAGTAGGAAGGAGATGTTCAATTTGAATCTTTCCTCTGAACGGTATTCCAGTTGTTCCTCATCACTGAAGCACTTGACTACTCTGGAAAATTGATTGGGACCTGGAATGAGCCAGGAATTATTATGAACAGCATTTCATTATAATTAATGAATGAACTGAGACATTAAAAAAAAATCATTTAATTAAACTTGGATTTAATTAATGCATTAATGATATGAAAGCAAATATATAATGATCAAAACAATTACATTTTCCTGCGCATAATTCAGTTTCCATATTCAGGAGTACAATTAATTTTTTAAAAGCTTTTGAATTTAGATTTTTAATATGCCTGTAGAATTATTGCATTTCATCTCACAATTAATTTGTCCAATGCTGCAACATTTACAGTGATTTTTTGTGATTGTGCTCATTTGAAGAAGTTTGTTTAAAATCAAAGACTTGTACAGAATGATGAAGTGAGAGCAGCAGCAGGAGCTCTGTTTAGCCAGACTCCTGTCAACACATAACAGCTGGCTAGTTGGAGCTCCTGGTGCTTTTTTCTAGTTCAGACTTTATGGAAAATTGAGGTAGCACATTCTCAAAGTTGAAGCAAAACTATAATTAAACACTAAAAATGTCCTTAATTCATTCTGTGGCACACTCCAGGCTACATATCAGCCTTTCATTCATGCAGAAAATAAACAGAGTTTTTACCTTCAGACCCCTAAATGGTCAAATAAGTCCTCCCACTTCAGATAAAAAAAATCACACTTGCTCCCCAGACTCTCCTGTTTATGCGACACAGAGTCTCCAAGTTTTAAACACTTTAAGCTTGTTGTCAGAAGCAAGACGCTACATTTTGCTGTTATTTTTCCATAACTTTTAAAATGGTCAGACCAAACACCTAAACAGTCTGACACTCACAAATGACTGCATCAGGAATATGATCTATTCTTCAGGTCAGCCTGATCCTCCACGGTCACTAAGAATCTCTACCTCCATATTTATCAATGTGTTTTTTCTCTGTATTGCTTCCTATCTTGTTTTCATTTTTTTCTTTCTTTCCTATGCTTCCTCCTTTCTGCTTTCATTCACAGGAAAACACAACACCACCAGACCCAGGTCAGTATGGCATGACCACTTGGCAACTTTTGTAAACTTGTTAAGGGCTTTTTGTCGTACCTCTTAAGCTCTTTTCATCTCGGTTCTGTAGCAAAAACACATACACAGACAGGATGAAAAGGAAATGGTTAGTCAGAGGCCAGAGGGAGACTTGGAGCAGATAGATGTTGGTTTAAAGATAACCCTCAGATGTTTTGAAATGTTTTTGATTATATATTGCTCAATTTGTTTTTCTTCTGCCACAAAAAAACTCTATTTTTTGTAAAAGAAATGCACTGACATGAATCTCTCCTGCTCACACACAAGGTTTCAAAGAGGAAATGAATAACAACGGTTTCCTCTTGACAAATTTATTTGAGTAAGAAAAACCAATGAATAATGGGATGCATAAGGAATCCTCAATCAGAGCACAAAAAGCTCCTTTTCTCACTGCATGCCGTGATGCCTAAACCCTAGACGGCATTGAGATGAATTGGAGTGGGTGGAATCATAATGATAACTACGGCAGGAGAAATGCTGGCAGGAAAGCACTTCCAGCAGTCTATACGCCTCGGCCTCAACTGCTGAGCTGTGCCTTTGTGATAAATCAATTTCCATAAGGGGCTTTATAAGAAAAGACAGCCGTGCTTATTGTTCTTATTTAAAACATGAATGTGAGATATTCCATTCATCTGGGGTCACAGTCAGCTAATAGTTTCCCCGGGCTGGTTTGCAGGGGTGCTGGGACTGGAAGGAAGATGTGTCTGAGGGGGCCAGATGTGTGAGTCAGGAGAGAGTAAGTGGCTGTGTCTTTTAAGTTGGCAGAGGTGTTTAGTCTTACCCTCAGCCCCATGCTTGTGGCTGTATTTGTCTGCCATGCAGAGGAAAGATCGGTGATTAGTGGAATCAAGCAATTGCAGTGGTGTGATACTAAATCACTGGAAGGATGGTGCCATTTTGGTCGTTTAGCAATCATTCAAAAATACTGTCAGCAAGTTCACATTTCTGTATTTATGCTGGAGAAAGACAAAGACATCCAAGATAATGACAATGAGGAAATTAGCTTTGTGCTTGTGCGTAGTGCAAATAATCACTCTACAACTAGAGAAAGCCATAACAGAGACGTCATAAGGGAGAGACTCGCCACTTAAACAACCCTGAATAGAAATCTGACACAACATTTCATCATGCCCACCAAGAAGACAAACTTCTGCTTCATTACACCTAAACTGGACAAAATCCAGCCAATCATGTTGCTGCAGTGATATAGTTGTTGTGAAACTGTGCGTACGATGTAATTATATACCTGCAGGGGAAAACACTTTTTAGATCTCAATTTTGGTTACCAAACCTTCTCACAGATTTGACAGTTAAATGAAACTGAATTGAGCTGAACTTGACTGATGATTCTATACGTACAGTTCATGTGTCCCGATGACCATTAGAATTGCAGTTATGGCTCTCGCACTCTATGCACTTAGATAAAAATAACTGCCAAGAGGCGTTACCAGGATGGCTGCAGAGTGTTGAGACTTGCTGTATTGGACACATTTTCTAACATCGTGTTTCTTACTTAATATCTGCACCATCTAGACCAGGTGGATTTAGCCCCACAGGCTTTGACATATCTGCATCTGATATGCAGTTCTTTGCCACTATGCAGTAGAGTTGTGTGAAGCGCTGATGAACTGTATTTAAACAGCAACCTAACAGGAGTCAAGTCTTGCTTTTGCTGGCTGCCAGTGGTTTAACTTCTTACCTTGCTACAGAAATGTGTCAGTACACTGTTACATTACTGTTCCCACTATCAGTCACTTTGGTTGTTTTCAGACACAAACTTTATCATTTACATATTCATTAAGGATTAGACACGTCTCCAACTATTCTAAAAGTGTAAAAGGGTTTGTATTAGCTATATTTTACCCAACAATGTAATGAAAACTGTGCATCTCTACAACTCTAGAAGAATACATTCTCATTTTGGTCTTACTGCATTGTACAGTATGCTGTGATTCTCTTGTTTCTTTTCTTTTCAATATTTTTAAATATTTACTTTAGTGCTCTTCATTATGCATGTCTGTATATAGTTGCATTACCAGAACTAATCATCAGACAGACATTAATGCCCTGTGTTCCTCTAAATATGACTCTCAGATGGATGTCTAGAGTTTTGAGTATAAATGTGTTTGTGCTCCTTGTCTGCTAGGTTTACCTAGAATGGTTGTGATCAGAGACTACAGTGGCATCCCCTGTCCCCAGTGTGGGCCCCCACTAAGCATTCATGCAGGGGATGTCATTGAACTGATGTTTGCCGATCTGCACAGCTCCTGGTGGCAGGTGCGTGTCACTCAGCTCATCCTCGTTTTATCTTAACATCTGTGACTCTATGAAAAAATAACATGTTATGGCTCACTGGGTTGTTGCGGTGCACGCAATATCTTTGCAGTGTCATGGGTTTGAATGTGTGCTGCCTGTTACCTCTTCTCTCTCATGCTAGCTGTCCAACTATGTGACAAAGACAAAAGAGCTTTCAAAAAAGTATTTATGTGGTGACATCAACAATTTATCTCCTTTTGACTGTTATTTCTTATTAATCACTAATTGCATCGTGGTTGTTAATCACATTCTGTGCTCTGTCAGGTGAGCCACAACTGTGACATTATGATGAGGTCATGCACAATTAGAAATATCAGTCAGAGATCTGTATGAACTCCCCTGGACCCCAGTCACATTACAAATGGGGTGTCTGTCTGTTTTTTCTCTTTAGATTGAATCAAAGCCTACATTGGATGATCTAACCAATTAGTGGCTTCAGCTGATTAATTGAGTGCCAGAGTGAAACAATAAAACAGCAGACACTTCGGCCTCTGGAGGATGTTTTAATGGTGGAGCACAACCTCATGTACTGGCACATTTAGCAACCATCTCACGAGGTCAGCCAGCGGTTGAAAGTGTTTGACCTTATCTATTTTTGAAAGGATGGGGATTTATCTGGGGTCTTCCGGCAGCCTCCCTAGCTGTTTCTCACTCTGCTTTACGGCTGCATTAAAGCCTCATCCTCCTTCTGGTGCTGCTCCAACAGGACTGCAGTCTTTGCCAACGGCACGGCTGGGAGTGGGCACGCAGCCCGATTTCTTATGCTCCATGTTTCTCTCTGTTGTGACAGAGCACAAGGTGGAGGGTGAGGACATGAATGCCAGGAGACATGTAAGCCGGTAGAACAGCGACCAGAATGTCATGCCACGGACCTGATGGCACTGCATTGTTTGCTGCCATGGCAACCATGCATGCTGGAAGGGGATAATCAGAGAAATTATGTGATAACACACATGTGTGTTTTCCTGTTCTGTGCATAATGACTCTTTAATTAGCTTGACTAAAAGCTATCCTATTCAGTTCATAACCACTAGCGGTGCTGTAGAGCCATGCTGGATGAACAGATTCTCATACTGTTGGTAATACTTGTTCCAACAACGCACTTGTAAAGTTGTGTATGCACACATGGGTTGACAAAGTGGAGATTTCTGAAGTGTCCAATGAAAACAGAGTGCAGTGACTACACTTTTTTTTATTTGTGGTTATCATATTTTAGATATAAAATCAATCTAATGGACATGGATTCAAGGATTTTAGAGAGTGTTCCTCTGCTGGATAAATGTAAAACCTTCTGAATGGAGAGATACTACTAGAAATATTGGAGATAGAACTTGAACTTGCCATTTAAATGGATAGTAGGGAAGAACCTCAGGTTCATCTGAGCTGCTAAAAAGTTCACCTGTGCAACAACAACTAGCATGACAGGTTTATAAAAATGTCCTGACAGCTCTGATGGAGCTCAGGATTCATCCAGACACAATGAGTTTTGGGGAGAAACACTGAATCTTTACAAAACTGTGTTTGTTTACAATGAAAACTCCACAGGGTACCTTTAATCTTCAGCGTCCCCAGTGGCGCCAGAGGATGGAATTACAGAACATTGAGAATTCATATCCCCTGTTACCCAGAAGGCAATTATCCCCCATCCCACTGGCAGAACAATACAATCAATCACTGTAATTTCATTTGATCCTTTGGCTGCTGCCTGTTTATGCCAACAGAGTAATAAGTTTAATCTTTATCATACGCTTATCGAAAGCATAACAAATAGAGAAGGGCTTTCAAAAAACCTTTGATAAAATGTTATTACACAGAATGAATCATAGAGATGGGTAAAGATTCGCTTTCCAATCTAGTTACTGCCAGGGCTTGCACGGTCCCAAAAAGCATTTCATACTCTAATAAAGAGGAGTGAGGAGGAAAGCATAACCAGGGCAGGAAGCTGAATGAAGAGCTCCACATGCCCTCACCACTCCCTGTCTTCTCAGAGGGACTCAATGGACTTCAAATTGACCTCGGACTCAGGACTGAAAACTCAGATTGTTTTGAGCCTAATGTTGATATATATTCTTATTACTGTCTACAGGATAATGCACATGATAGAGAATATAAAATAAACTAAACCATCCAAGTAGGGGCAAGTCTATATAAAGATTAAGTAATTTGTTTTACCAAATTAGTTTATTTAGCTGGAGAAAAATGTCTTGTGTATTCTATGTTTGTCGAAGGAATTAATGATTTTCATATAAAGCTTGTGGTTGCTTCAGGCGGGTTAGCTAAAATGCAATTGTTAGTGTTTAGCGCGAGCCTGAGAGCTCATGCTGTTTGGATATTCAAAGACTAGAATAAGATCCATTATTTAGTGTTAAACGAGGCTCTTGTTTTGATGCAGTACAAATCTAACTGCCGGCAGAGTTTGAACCATAATTAACTTGGGCTGCAAATTAGATGCACTGCTTGTTGTGTGCTAATTGCTGAGGATTTATTGAAGCAAGAGTGGGAGGGGAAGAGAAAAGGAAGAGAAGGAGTGAGAGAGGAGTGTAGGTGCTCCCAGACAAATATAATGCGATTAACAAGCGGTTGCCATTGCAGGGCAGAATTCTGGCGACAAGCAAGATTGGCTTCTTTCCAAGTGACGCTGTGAGGCCTTGCCCATGTGTAAGTGTGCATATTTTTCATAATCAATAAGACAAATTTAGTGTGATTACAATGCATTCAGTGGATAATGGCCACTATTGATGTCTTGGCAAAGGAATGTAGTGCTTTCAATTGCATTTTTTCTTTTTTTTTTTTGCTGCTGAAGACTGATTTTAGCCATTAGATGTGGCTTGAATATCACATTACCACAAATGACTTCCACCCTCTGTATTGTCTCCATTAAAACACAAAATAACCTCAGTTCTTTTCTATGGCAGGTTCCAAAACCTGTGGATTACTCTGGTCACCTCTGGTAAGTGGTGAAAACAAATGACTGGAGATTGATTGCTAACAATAACTACAAGTCATTTTTTTTTTTTTTTTTTTAATCATGTTTTATTGATTGTATTGACGGTTCTCATCCTCATGTTCAGAATGATTGATCGCAGTGTAAGTGCAGTAGTTGTTCATGGATGGTTCAGGTTTGCAGGGCCCATGGAGAGATACCAGGCTGAGGTAGAGCTCCTGGACAGGGGAAACAGCACCTATCTGGTTCGACACAGGAGTAAAGAGTGCACTGAATATGCCATCAGCATAAAGTAAGTGATATGATGGTTTGTTTTCTCTTTGTTTCCAAAGTCAGTCTCCCACAATGTTCTGCCTCGCTATCATTTACCGAGAATAGTGGAATGAACTAAACACATGCAGTCAGCAGCAGTCTTGTGGGCAAAAACACCTTCTTGTGAGAGGCGAGAGACGAGTGGCAAGAATAATTCAAACAAACAAAATTCCCTCATGCAAATAACAGCTCAGTACAACAATGGCCTCCGAAAACAAACTGCTCATTGAGCGTCGAAGTGGATGGGCTGCAGCAGAAGGAGATCATGCTGTGCTCCACTCATGTCAATGAAAAGCAAGAAGTTTTGGTGAGTCCATCTTCACAACCAGCCTGTTACTGAGGATGTGCCCGGTTCGATGAGCTGCAGTTGATACTGAAATGTAGTGGATGGAATGTAGTTTTAAGGTTGATTCAGTCAAACGATAGAAAAAAAAAACACACCAAACAAACAAACAAAAAAAAAGATTTTCCTTATCTGGTGGTATCCAGTCATATAAGCCAAGCTTGGCCACTCTTTCTAAAAGCTGACATGCCAGTGGGGAGAAAATATTGTTCTCAGTCCTGCTAATTTTCGATGTATCAATCTTAACCACTATTCTAAACTTCTAAATGATTTTCAAAAGACATTTTACTGTGTAAAAATACCCCTTACGCATGAAATTCTTTCCCAGTTAGAGACAGGAAGACAAGAGAAAGTATTCCATAAAATGAGCAATGAAAAACAAAACTTTCTACATGGCAAGACACTTGACTTAAGTGTTTTTTTTGTTCTGATTTAGGTGAAGGAGCCCTTACCTGCCATCTGTACATCATAGACTACCTAAACATGGGTTGCAGTTCTTTGTAGTTCACTACGTACGATGGCTCAATCCACACATTTGAACTGAATGTAGCATTGGGTAAGAGGTGAAATTGGATGGTGTGTTTTTTTTTACCATCTGTCTATTGTCTGTGTCTCAGACATGTGTTTAAGGAGTGTTTGATAGCTTTGCATCATACTATTTGATGCTCTTTGACTGTCAGTCCTCGAAATGAATTTCAAAAGAAGACTAACAACACACTTGAATTGCAGATAAAACACACATTCCTTAAGGCTTCAATAAATGGCTGCTTTATCTGCAAGCTGAGTGCCTCCCTATCCCTCTTTTCAAATACAACCCTGTCCATTTAACTTATGAATATCTTTCAGGCTACATCAAAGCTTGTTCACTCTTTTAAAAAAAGAAAGGACTATGGAGTCCTCCTGACCTGGTGTGACGGCTCCAAGAGATAACGACGGAGGGTGCGCTCTGAAATAGTGTTTGGATGTTAAGACTATTTAGGCAGTGACACACCATTCCAGCCCATTTGGTTTGGTAGACTCATACCTCATTCAGAGCTTTGATGTACAGGACCAGTTTCTGAACACTCCAATCCTAATTGCCTGTCTCAATGCTTAAGATCATTATCAGGATGGCCGTTTGAGATAATGGAGCTTTATACAGAGAGCTCCTACTAATCAACTGGAACTGTCTAGTGTCAGACAGTACAAGTGGTCAGTTTGTGTGCGTGTTGAATGATGTTTGTGTGTATGTGCAGCTTTGGGAGCCTATAGGAGGAAAGAAAGTCTATGCCTTCGACAAACAGGGCTCATCTGTCTCTATGTGTTATGCACCTTATAACTCAACACACATCAATAATGTATTACTCACCGTATATTCATAATATATTGGTGTATTTTCAACATGACTATATTCTACTCAACCATTATAGGCTGCACTGGGAGATTTACAATGAGGATCTATCTCTGGTGTAACTTCCACATCACCATATGAGAAACACGCTATATACAGTATTGTGTCAAAATTGGCTTGACAGCGCTCTCCTGCTTGTGCATGTATGCACTGAACAGTGTGCATGCATTTTCAAGGTTAGCCTTCATTGCTTTTCACAGTGTTTGCCTGAGCTATGCGCCTCGTATGACGTATGATTATTTCATCATTTCATTATTTAGTACACCGCGGTGCAGTCTCTAGTAGCCTCCTGTTCAATACACTGGTTACCACAACATTAAGACCACCTTCCAAGTTTCAAGTTTCAGGCAGTTGGGCCTGGTAGTATTTGCGTAATCCTGTCTACAGGCAAACAAACAAACAAACAAACAAACAAACAGCACTAAAAACAAAGGCCCTACTTCCACCTCGGTGGGGAATTATTAAGTACGGGCCATGTTAAAGCAGCTGATACTCCCAGTCATGGTCTGTGTTTGACAGGATTCATTCCCCCACCAGCCAAAAAATGATCATGAAAGCTGGGACCCAATATTTAGCCAGAACATTTAATTGTAACGAGATGAATAACTTTACTTGTCAGTGTTCTATACTTTGCAATACATTTTTTTCTATCTTGGATTCACTGAACATACTAAATGTCACACATGTTCTTCTATGTACTGCATTAGTAGCTGGTTGTTTAGAATCAGGTTGGGAGAAAAACTGATGTACAAAACGATGCTGTCCTCCAGCCCTGGACCTGGTTGTGACATTCTTCTGTCAGCAGTCTATATAATTGACGTAGTTGTAATTCTAACATTATTTTTGAATATACAGTGCTTTCACAGAACACAATGTTTAGCACAATGAGTGTTGTCATTGTACATACTAAATCAGCTTAATTTGTCAAATATGAAGTATGAATGTGTGTTGGACAGTCTTCCACAACAGTCACATTTTGGCTTGACAGCAGTGAAGCCACTATGATTGATCATAATATTAGTCTGTGCTCCATTTAGCTGCTGCCACAGTGTATGTTGGCTTGCAAGGACTGCAGATTGTTAACGGTATTAATTAGCTTTCCTGCTATGACAAATCGAGATGTCTGTTGTGAAAAAGAGCTATTGTTTACCGTAATGACAACTCCAGAGACGTCACAAAAAAACAAAAAAAAGTGTATTAAGCATGAAAAATAGCGTTTTTCTCTTTGTTGAATTGAATTAGCAATCATGTCTAATGTCACCTTTTGAGAGAAGGCTATTCTCACGTATTGTATCATTTTCTGTTAGTCAGCCTTTAGTTGATTAGTCTATAGCATATTATTTTGAATGAGCAAGTAATATCATAGTAGGACACAGGTTTGTATTAGGTATCAGACATTCACTAATAGGTAGAAAACATGTGTTCACTTTGCTGAACACTGCTTTGATCGATGGATTTTTCTCACATAAAAATATACACAACCCCTGCAGAGTTAGAGACAGCTCTGATATCAGAGATGAACAGCTACAAGAAGACAGTGGTTCATTTTAGGTAAACACAAACCAAAAGTGTTAGAAATTGCATGTACAGAGTAAAACTAGGGAGACCTATGGTGTTTTTATTATTCACTGTTATGAGTAAATTGGATCTGATTTCCACTGCATAAAAATCTTGTTCTTGTCAGACAAAGTTGCCTGTCTCAGCTTAGACGGTTAGCTCAGACGGACCTTCGTGATGGTTCACCATAGAGACTAGATTGACGTGGAAGCATGTATACTTGATTAGCAGCCCATGTCTTATTCATCCTCCACAGGTTCAACGATAAAGTCAAGCACATTAAGATTCTGACCAAGGAGGGAGGCTTTTACATTGCGGAGACTCGGCTGTTCAAGACTGTGCTGGTAAATGTTTTTTTTAACTTGTTATGGATTTTTCTGCCCTCCAAACTGGTGTAACATAAATGAGTGTAATCAGTTTGACGTTATAGTATTTTTCTGTACTCTCTTGAGATAAATAGAATGCATAGAATAGAAAGTCAAAATTTGACTTTTATTCTCATAAAAATGTAAATCTACCAGTGGTTCACTTGGACATTTTTTTTAAACCATCCAAAAACCACAAGGGCTTGAAATGGACACATACAAACATACATAATATGCTGTGTTTATTTTCACTGCTTAGAAAAACTTTCTCACTCGATATATTGCAAGATCGAACAAACAGCTTCCTATATATTGGTACACAATAACATCTAGCTCACCAATGTTCAGGGTATGTTTTGTGTTCTTGTGCTTGTTTTACACAGGACTTGGTGGAGTACTACAGACAGCACTCTCTGAAGGAGGGTTTCAGCAGTCTTGACACCACTCTGCAGGTCCCTTATAGGGAACTGTCCAATGAAAACATGCCCAGGGCCATTGCCAAGGTTGGCAGCGGTGAGTCTGCTTCACAAACACCCAGGTTCCTTTCCTGACACTATCTGTCTGATAAGTTCATATCAGATCCTGGTGTGGTTATAGTTGAAAGATATTCTGAGCATATGTTTTGACCTGTTTGGTGGACAAGAGGGCTGGGATTTTGCCACAACACACCAGGTCAGACAAAGTAAGGGTATTTTTTTTTACCCCCTTTTCACAGGAAAAGTTGGACCTGCTTGTAAAGCTGGTTTAAATGACAGAAACACTCAGCAGTCTACATCTCACGTCATCACACAGAAAAAAATAAAAAAGCTTAAGCAACACACAGTTCTGCTATATTCAGTACCACAGCTGCTACACGTTCATTTGTTGTTACAAGAAAGTCAGAGTCCTATAAACCCTCAGCTTGGAGACCTGCAGTAGAATGTCTCAGCCTACATTGCAAAATCATGCATTAGACACTCAAGTTAAAACTGTGTCTCAATACACATGGCAGTACTATCTTTGATGTGTGAGAAATGTTAGAAATATTTAGCACAGCATAATGAGCTCACATGATTCCTTGTGGAAAGCACTGACTCGAAAACAGCAGCAGGTTTCCTTGGGAGACATTTCTCTTTCTTTTTGTTTGGCTCGTCCTCTTTGCCCATTAAATCAAATAAAACATTCACACCATTCATATTTTAATGTTTACTGTACACAATGATATCTTTATGACATGGGACCTAGATGTTGATGAGACTGTGTGTGGATATAAAGTGTTTGCTGCTGTTCACTAACTAGCCGGTGCAGTAGTGCTTACTGCATTTTAGTGATACAGGATATTCAACTATTAGAAAATGTAATAAATTTGCTTCATAAAAAGATAGAGTGAATGCAGCAGAGATTTTTTTAATCTAAATGTGTACTTTAAAAAAAAATGTATTTGTAATTTTTAACATTATCTGTCAGATGTAACGTAGCAAACCTCATTCAGCTGATTAAAGCTAACATTAGGATAACCGCTATTTTTGAAATTTAGCTAGACCCACATCTCTCTCAGGGCCAGAGTGGAGCATGCACTTAGCACTGTTTTGCTACCGTATTGCATGGTAAAGTGTTATGTCTTGGCCATGAGTGGCATAAAGTAGTGTCTTCAAACTCACCCTGTCGGCATGGATAAATGCATCATTGTGTTCAACACATCCAGTCTTTGCGTCATTACTGGCCCTCGGAGGCACAAGCAGATGCTCATTCACTCCGAGGAAGCGTGTAAAGGATAAAAGGAAAGAGGTCGTGAGGAAGAAGGAGATTAGAGGAAGTGGCAAGTTGGGAATGGAGACTGTGAGAGGGAGACAGAAAGTGTGATTGAATGAAATGGACTGACAGGGAAGGGAAGCAGAGAGATGGAGTAGGGGAAACAGGAAGCAGTGGAGATGCAGGAAGACGGAGGAATGGAGGTGGGGGAGAGAATACAAGGAGAAAGTTGGTGCCTTGGATGAACATGCAATCCATTTCTAGATGTGTTATCTGGATAGTGATAATATATACGCATGCTGTTCATGGGTTCTTGATTTCACCATCATTGTGGTGGTAAAAATCAAAGAATAAGGCAGACAGAACTCTACAAATCACATTGACACCTCCATGTGTGATCTTAGGTGGTCTAGTTATATTCTAATTCCAATGTATTCCATGTACATGTGCACATATTACCATACCCATTTCCTTGCATGTTAATAGGTTTAAATCAGTTTAAAGAGAGGCATGGAGTACAAAGGTAAGGTATGGAGTAAGAGAGATAGAGAGAGAGAGAGAAAGACAAAAGAGAGAGTGCGAAAGACAGTGAGTGAGAGAAATATAAAGGAGCCTCGGCAGCTCACCAGGCTTGGCAGAGAGGTCCCAGTTAGGGCCCTGTGCCCCAGGCAAGCACCAGGAGCCTGCTACTCCCAACGTCACACTCCTCACTCTGCTCAGTTCCGAGATGGCTTCACAATTTTCCTGACAGGACATGACATTTCACTTGGGCTGGCTGCAGAACAATTGTGTGACAGCCGCCTGCTGACACACACCTGAGGGATACCCCTGGTCCAACTGAGGGACTGTGACTGTTTCCACAAAACTGGGAAAACTTTTCAAATATGATCTGATGTAAAAGAGCAGGAAGCAGCTGGAGGTAAACTGTCTTAACTTAAAGAGAGGTGTACGTGTAAACAACCACAGCCGCTGCAACAGCAGCTGAGGCAAGCAGAGGAACGCTGAAACAAAGTCAAAGTTAGCCCTTTGTGTCTGTCAGGATGTAAAATTCTGCTACATCCTTGTCCCTCTGCCTCCTTTGGCAGCGTCGGTCTCATAGCACGTCAGGCTTCAAAGCAGCTCTGCAAGAGGTGTGTTTGTGCATTGCTGCCATTCACTGCGCTGCCTTCTCTGAGAAAGCCTTGACAGACCCGCCGTTGCCTCAATGCATTCTGGGATAGGTTATTATTGCCTTAAGTCGTCCACCCCCATAGACAGACTTAGTGTGGGCACCAGCGCTCTCTGTCTGGTAAACAGTCTCTGTAGAAAGACAGATGTCATGCCAAAACAAAAAAAAAAAAGAGGTTTGAATCTCAAAACAGACACCTCATAGCAAAGAAAACAGAATGCAAGGCTGAGCAAACAATCACAAGATGCAGAACTAGTGAAAAGCCATCAAATCTCTGGAGTAATTTGCTTGGAAAAACCCCAGCAAGCATTTTTAATTAAGTCTGACTGAGTGCTTTTCATTGTGTATGTGTGTGAATGCTAGAGCTGGGAAATAATTTGCAATGCAAAAATCTTTTATTGTCTGTCAGGATAATCATTTTGTAGTTAAATATTGATGTTATTGGAATGCACAGTTTTGTTATCTTATACTAATGATTATAAGGGGGTCCGATTCAAAACCTCAGTACGTGAGATCTGAAAACCTTTATTATAAAAATAACAGCCGCACTGTCTACTACACCAGTTCTGCCATAAATCCTGCCTTCATGAAGAATACAAGGTTCAGTTGTCGTAACTGTCTTGGAGTGTTGGTTCAGCTTTATGATCATTTTGAAGGATGTTTTGTTATTTAGTCTACCCACACGGATGGACAAAATAATAGAAACACTTGTTCATGTGGCCAGCATATGTAACTGTGTGAACTGTACTTACAACCTGCAGGTATTTGTATTGCTGTTTGCGTGTGCTCTGGTCAGACACTTGACATGTCTTGGCCTCTGCCTGTAGGGGAGAAGAAGAAGGCATGGAACCATATTGTTGTGTTGACAGGAGGTGTTTTCTCAGCGTGAGGGTCTGCTGGCTTAGATGGGATTTCATATGGAAGCAGAAGTCGTTTGCTCTGCAGTGTGAAATCCCAGATGTTGCTCAGACGTATACTTACCCACATGCTGCTGCTCTGGCTCACCTGGTCTCAAATTAAAAAGGTTGTCTTTCTTTAGAGAAATGTCTACAACAAGTTGCTCAATCAACTTAGATAAACAATCTCTCGTGAGAGTGTTTTTTCAGTCTTTGGTCCTGCTCGTCTCATCTTCAGTTGAAGCTCGTCCCTCTACTTTGTCATCTTCACAAGGTTGTGGAGACTCTTGACGAAAAACCTTTGATAAAGAAAATGTATTTGTATCACGCTGCAAGTGAACCAGAGCAAACTGAATAATAATTAACTGAACAACAGCAACAACAACAAAAAAAAAATGCACATCTTGGGATGTACGCACTGTGAGGTAATTCTGGAATTGAATAGACAGTAGCCAAATACAGGACATCAGACAGGATGTTGTACGTGTAGTTTCTTGTTCGGGCTCTGGTGTGGCTGTGGCATTTCTTGGTGGAGCCATAGATCCATCTAACCGCTGTGCCACCTGTGTGCTGCGTGCATGGGGGCATTGTTATGTTGAAACAAGAGAGGCTTTGGTACCAGGGTGCGTAACTCAAAGCATGAAAAACAAGGAGACAAAAAAAAGTTAGGAAAATAGTACCAATTCAGACAGCCATGACTGCAAGTATGTTATTAGTAGCACAGTTAACCCGGCTTACTGGTCTGTGCAAGTGCCAATTGACATGACAATTTGTCTGATGGTTTCACTGTTTCGCTCTCCTCGCTCACTCCACTCTCCCACCTGTATTTGCTTTTTACTTGTGATTTGACTTTGGCAACTTTTCCTCTTTTTCTCTCCTTTACCCTCTCATATACTCCCTCTGTCAAACTTGTGTTTACTTTGCTTATGTTCTCTCTTTGCTCCCTCTACGGCCTGAACCCCCCATCACTCGCTTCGTTTCTCTGTAGTTCCTCCTGGCGGCTGCAGCTTTGTTCCTCCCTCCTCTTCGCCTTTCTGGTCAGGTACAGGTATAACTTTTTCTACTCTCTTTGTTTCTCCTTTGCTTTAAGCCCACATTTCCAGGTTTCCATAGCAAACTGTCTTGTTTTTTTCCCTTCTCTATTAAATAATGCAGTCTAATGATGCCACTGTTTTGTCATATTACGCTGTATGAGTTGCCATATGGGACAAATCATTCATACTTGTATCGAATTTCTGAAACCTATTTTATTTCCCATTTGGTGAACATAAATTCAGAAATGCGAATACATCAGTTGCTATAATTCCATAGTTACCAGCATTTACATTTGGCTAAGTCCAACAATAACACAATTAATTCTGCTAATTGGGATTCATGCACTTTTGTTTGTATGCTTTCACCTAATGAATCATGGCACATATGTTTCACAATAAAAAACAGTTATTTTAGGTTTAGTATCCATTTAAAGCTGTGACTATAAGAGCAGCGATGGCTGTAACAACCCTGAAATAGTGATGAAATGCTCCCAAATCTGAATAAAAGAAGGTATTTCCCATTTTCATTCTGCCTTCATGGCATGAATGCAAGATAATAGTCTTTTACGATTATTTTGCTTATATGTACGTGTCTGTGTGCGCTTCTGTGCATGAGCATAGAGTATACATGCATGTAAACTATACATACATGTGTGGACCTGGACATCTCTCAGTGTATGATGTGCCTCTCTGTGCATGCGGCAGAAGGTGTATTCCTTTCATCCAGCATATCTTTGCAGTCGTGTCATCTGTATTTTCATAGATAAGCTGAACGTACACCTGTGTTCATGTGTGATATGAGCCTGACCTGCATGTGCAGGAATAACCTTGTACAGACTGATAAGTGAGAATACCTTCCCTGAGCCGAGTTAAACATTAAGTTTTAATAAGATCAACACATGATCATGATAAACCATGACCTCTCATCTTGACTGTGTGCTTGGCCCCACCAGGCTGGGCTGTCGGGTATACTTCTCCTTTCTCACCAGTGAACCTGATTTATTCTCTTCTGTCTGTCTATTTACACTTTGTATGACTCAGGCCCATGAGTCAAGGCTCTTTGCTGCCTTACCATCCTTAGAGCATGGCCATAGTCGCTTTACTGTAGGTAATACACTGTCAACATTGTGCAGTTGACAAACACTCAAAGAAATGTAATAATACTGTACACTTCTCTATTGAAGGTCGATGTCATTGTACTTCTTTCTAAGGACATTTGTATCACAGTGAATAGACATGAAAGCTCAATTTCAACCTTGAAAAAAAGGCAGTACATCTGCAAACCCGACTTTTAAATTAAACTCTGATGACATTTTTTTTCTGGAGTGTAATTCTGCTTTTGTGAGTGTGACCAGTAATGACGGACATTCTACAAAAGTACAGTGCCTAATATGGTAGTTTAATGTCCATTTATAGCCTAAGATTTGCTCTAAATACTTCACTACATCACTCTGAATCTCTGTTTATATTTACGGCAAATTTGTGAAATCGTGTAAATAGGTCCCAACAATAAGATGAAGTCTTCCTGTGTGTCTCAGTCTTTTCTCCCAGGGTGGTGGGTATTGCAGTGGCACGCTACGACTTCTGCTCCAGAGACACACGGGAGCTGACTCTGCAGCAGGGAGACATTATCAAGATCTACACCAAGATGTCCAATGGGTGGTGGAAGGGAGAGGTTGATGGCAGGGTAGGTCTCAAACACATTTCTATACTGCTCTTGCAACTGAAATGAACAAATAAACGATACATATTGTACGTACTTCTAAGGTTCAAAATAATTAAAGGTATATTATTAATAGCCGTGTCGCCTTGGTGACACAGAGGTAGATGTGTTGTTAAACATAACTGGCAGTGTTTTGATGCTGGTGAGTGGCCATGTTTTTGACTGCTCTTGGCACCTGTATGGAACAGACTGGGTGCTTCTCACTGCTAAAAAGGAAAAAAAAACTTCAATGGGAGTTATGGATATCAAATGCTGCAGTTTAAGGGGCAAGTCTCCACTCAAAACTGGAAAAAAGAGGGAGAAGTATTTTACATAATATTGTATACAGTGCCTTTAAAAAGTATTCACCTCCCTTGGAAGTTTCATTTGTATTTCTTTTCAACATTGAGTCTTGGTAAATTTTCTTTTCTTTTTTTGACAATAATTTACAAATAAAGGCTCTAAAATGTCAAAATTAAAACTGATTTCTACAACGTAAACTCAATTATTTAAAACATGAAAATGTAAAGTAAGTAATTGCATGAGAGACTCGCCTAATTCAACACAGGTGCATCCAGTTGGTGCTCGAAGGCTTACAATTAGTGAAATGGAGATCAATATGTTACACACACAAATCTGCCTATAGCAGGCCAAAAATCCATTGACTGTGAAAAAAGAGACTAGTGAGGGAGGCCACCAAGACACCTATGACTCCTCTGAAGGAGTTACAAGCTTTAGAAACTGGGCTGAGAGAGACTGCGTACAACAACTGTTTAAAAAGCTTTATGGGACATTAGCAAAGAGAAAGACACTGTTTGGGGAAAAAAGCTCATGAAATACCGGGTAGAGCTCTCCTGAAGGAATGTGGGAGAGTCTGAAGTCAACTGGAAAAAGGGTCTCTGGTGTGATGACAACAAAATTGGTCTTTGTGGCCATCAGACTGGACGCTGAGTTTGGTGAACACCAGACACTGCAAATCCTCACAAACACACCATCGTCTCTGTGAAGCATGGTGGTGGCAGCATCATGATGTGAGAGTGCTCCTCTCAGCAGGCCCTATAAGGCTTGTAAAAGTAGAGGGTAAAATGAACGCAGCAAAGTGTAGGGAAAACCCTGGAGGACAACCTGATACATTCTGCAAGAGAACTGCAAATTGGGAGAAGATTTAAGGTAAGATAAGAGACAAGATAAACTTTACTGATCCTTCACCAGGGAAATGTACATGTTACTGGACTGGAAAAGGGCCATTCAGATACAACCCCTGTGTACCCTGATGGAGCTTGGTTTGCAAAGAAGAATGCAGTAAAATGTCCAGATGTGCAAGGCTGATTGAGACCTATGCACTCAACACTGTACTTGTGGCCAAAGGTACATCTACTAAATAGTGACTTGAAGGGGGTGAATACTTTTGTAATCACTTATTTTACATTTTATGTTTTATTACATGACATTACTTTGTAGAACTTTTTTTCAGCTTGATAAAAAAATGACGTTTTTGTAAATTCTTGGCAATAAAGCCAAATGTAATTGATGATGAAAAGCAATATCGGGTAAAACCTTCCAGATGTGGTGACTACTTTATATTGGCACTGTATACTACAGTATGTGTAATATTTGTGTGGCTTCGAGCTACAACCTGAACTGTTCTTTGTTTGGCTGCTTCTCAGGTGGGCTGGTTTCCCTCTACCTACGTAGACGAGGAGGACTGACTTGTTGCTGCTCAGCGTCCATTCAAAGCTGACCACCTCCAGTGAGTGCCATGCTGCTCTGCCACTCTCTGTGCTCGCAGTCAGATCTCTTTGATAAAACCCAGAGACTCGGACATGAGAGGAGGCGGCAGTGCCCTCAAAAACCTTCTCCTGCCCTCTGACAGACTCTCCTGCAGAGGAGATGTCAAATCACAGATTCCAGGAGCGTCACGCCATATCTTGCCTCTCCGCTGCCCCGTCTGCCCCTGCGGCTCACCAAGAAGTACATGTGCTGCACCCAGATAACCCTCCCCTGTTCTTTCCCACTCACCTTCTCTTATTATTGATGGCTCCATCGGCTGGAGTGAGACCTGCCCTGTCATCATGTTTCGATACAAGGAGGGCTCAGTCACCCAACTGGAACACAGATCCTGCTAACAGTGCACTGCCCAGGCACTCCACCAAATTGACATGCGGGTGCTGAGGAACTCCGACTACTGCACTGTGACCCTCTTTAGCTGTTCAGACGTTTGTGTCATTTTATTTAAAACATTTCAAATTACTGGACAGATATAACTTTCTAATGTGTAAATGCATTTTTTAAACCCAAATGTGATGCTCTTTATAAAAAAAGACTTTTTAATATGACAAACTGACAGACTTTTTATCTTTCAGCTGGACATGAAGTCATTCTTTGTATTTGTGGAAAGAATACATATGTGGAGACCAGTAGTTGATGAGATCATGGTCGAGGCTTTGAAATCTGCCACTGAAACTATGTCTCCCAAGATGTGCTTCCTCTTTTATGAGATTTTTAAAAAAACGGTCTGAACCCCAAGCAGTTTTCCTTCCTTCTGTCATATTTTTTCTCACTGTTGGCTCATTTTTCAATGCAATATAAAGTCCTGCACTTCTATGGAGACAGCGCTGCCATTTCTACAAGGAGAAAGAGCGAGAGAGGAGTGAAAAAAGTTACATTTATTGAATTGCTTATTTAAAAAAACAAAATTAAAACCTGGAGTCAACATGTCCAGCATTTTTTAAGTGCCCACAGGTGTTACTAATAGTGGAAAAAGAGGTGCTACAGATAATTTACTATGTTTACTATCTTTAATTTATTTATATAGTTGTCTCATATCTGCTCTGTGTAGACAGCCTGCATTTCAGCCAAAAAAAAAAAATCTGTGAATATTTGTCACACGACTGTTGGTCACGGCTGAGTCGGTCATGACTTTTTAGTTGTGCCAAGGAGTGCAGACGTTTTTCAAAATAGAATTTAATGGTTCATTTTCAGCAAATTTTGCAATGAGACGCGTAGAATAATGTGATTTTGATGAATTGTTTATTCAGTCTCTTGCTGAAGTGTGACACCAGTCTGATATCAGTCCCTTTAATATGAGGTTCCAGACAGGAGCATGGTTTAACATCAAGACTGGAAGCTGGAGAAAACAGCTGCTGTCACTCTACGCAAAAAGGTTTGTCTACCAGCAACTCAAAAAGTCCCGAATAACATGTTGTATGTCATTTGTTACATTTTTGCAAAAAACAATTGTAAAGAGACAATTTGTGTCTTTGCTGGGGTTTGGTACTAAACTATTTATTGTCAGTAGTGACTTCCTGGAGCCTCTGCTGGTTGTCTGGCAACATCACAGTGAAGACAGGAATTAGTGAACTTACTGGTGCTGGTTGGTGGAATCGGAAGCTATTATAGCCACTTGTCCTTGTTTCCAGTCTTATGTTACGATAAGCTAATTGACCATCTCCTGCTTATAGCTTCATGTTTAGTAGAAAGACATGAGAAGTGTTAGGCCTTATAGCTGCTACAGATATTTTTCCTGACAAATATGTTGCTCCGTTGTCCACACAACCTTTGTTTTATAAAATATCCCCCAATGCGAGGTAAAATGACTGGAGCAATGACATCATCTTTTACCAAACTCTACATCTTACATGTTGCTACACATAAAGTGGAGTTTTTATAAATGTTCTCCTTAGAAGTTTAAAAAGTTCTTTGAGTGACCTAAAACACTGTGTAAGGATGATAAGACCCACACATGGAGGGAAATGTTTGTTTTATATCTCTATTCGTGTGGACAAGTTATGAGTTATGCAACTCTCACGAAGAAAGAGAATAAGCATATTTCCCAAATATTAATCTGTACCTTTAAGCCAAAACCCTGAGGCTGGCCTCACAAGACTGAATAAATATGGTGAATCATCAAAAGAAGGAAGCATCACTTTTTGATAATGTCTCATAATGTTCAGCTTAATGGCACTGGAGCACTATAATACCCACTTATTATGTTTGTCTACAGACACATGGCGTCATCAAATAGAAAATATATGCACAAAAGGAATTACAAAGCCAAATCAGTTTTCAAGTGTATGTCTGGTGTGGATTGTGTAATTGGAGGTGTAAGTCTATGCTTCGCTCCTTGATCTTTTGATCATTCACTGTGGAAAGCAAAGAGCCCTTTTACATTCTACAGATTTTGTGTTTACCTCAACTCTTTTTGGTTTCACAATGAATGATTCAAGGGTGATGTAACAGCTGTTCACTGTAGAGCAAGGTAGCACAAGGGCATTAAGCAATGCTGTTTTCCTTCAAACGGTAACACCCCGCTAACCATGTGTGTGACATCAATATTTAATAAAAGCATACTCTTTGAATTGTACTGTTGAAATTTGATAGGCTATTTTTCCTTCTTCAGACAAATGTTACATGTTGCAGGAACAAAGGCATTGCAGTTGCATCACAAATCACAGCTGTGTGTGACACTGCGAAGGTGCAGTGGAGACCTGGCAGTGCTCAAATAATAGCTTAACAAACACAACAGAATAGAGAGACATCTGAAAGCAGTTACAGTGCAGGAACATGTAAGCACTGCAAAGACTTTGTTTTCTTTCCAAATTTTCCTCACTAAAATCGTGGAACCCTCTCAACAAATTTGCATTGTACAAGCTGTGGTTTGCAACATGATAGCATTTCCTCTCTCATTAATTTTGACAAAACTGGCACCATATCTTCGACCCCTGCATGAGATCTCTGTAGGATTTCCAATTCCACGTGTAGTTTTCAGGAGACCGTGGCATTGCTACCAGTTTTGATATGCATGTTAGCATGTTTGTGAAACAAGCCTTCAGCTCTTTACTCGTTGACCCTTTGATCCAGACCAGTAGCTTGAGAAGAACGGCTGAGCCAAAGTAAAAGAATATGGGTGTGAAGTTCAAATCTCAGCACATGCCACAAGTTATTTTTCATTCATTTGCTGCATGCATTAGGCATGCGCAAGTAAATAAATACTACTGAATAGAATTGTAATTAAAAAACAAAAAAAGGTTCCAATAAATTAGAACCAACATGTAATTTCTTTAAATTAATTTGAAAACCATCACCATCAAAGTGCAGAGGATCTGCCGGGTGGCTCTCGGAGGACTCCAAGTTTTAGGCATTTTGCCACTGAGCACATTTTATTTTTAGGTTTTAACAGCATGTTTCTGCCCTCTGGGGAAAAAAAAACATTAAGTTGTCCTTTAAGAGACACACAGCAGTTAATATTCTGTTTAACATTTAACATGAGATGAACAAGCCAGAAATGAACAGGAAAATACACAGTAGTACTTTCTGGAGGGTGTTTACTTTTCATTAAGTTTTCAGATTTTTCTGAAACTTAGCTGAGTAATTAAATGTATGCTGTTTTTTTTGTTGTTGTTGTTTTGTTGTTGTTTTGTCAAAAAAAACTCCCCAAAACATAATGAAGCAAAGGAAGTTTATGTGTGGAGTACCGTTCAAGCACAAACACAAGAAACAGGTAAATAACAGCAGGCTAAATGACAGCTCCAAGAAGAACATGATTATTAGTATGAGGGTGTAAGCAGCAGGATGATTATCATGAAATACCAGAATCATGATAAAATAAATTGCATTGTTATAGTGTTTTTAGTTACCATAAGACAGTTTACACAATTTTATCATCAGTGATGCGAAATCGAAAATCCTGCGACACAGTGCCTCTCACATGATTTGGTGTCTTGATTATCTATTCATCACAGCTCCCGAGTTTTTTATTTTGTTTATTTATTTTTCCATGAGTGGGGAGAACAACCATCTCCTAGTTTACTGATTCAATTATAGGACATGCAATAGGTCAGATACAATTAGTACATGTTAGACAAACTTTGATCAATAGATCGTTATGCATGAGATAGTTAATTGTTGCTCACAAGTCAAATCGTTGTTTTAGTAGAAGTCATGAGTTGCCTAACTGCTGCTGTGCAACCACTAAACACTGTGCCGCTCTTCTGTGTCATGTCAGTACCTGATGGTTTTGTATGCAAATGCTGTTAAAAGAGAGTCTTTGACTGTATTAGGGTCTTAAGTCTTTACTGGTGTACACATGGGGCCATTTAGGGAGACTCTCAGGGGGTCACGACAACAAAGAAGACAAGGTTCACATCACTGCTTCCACTTTCTATTACATTGTCTGTTCAGTGTGTCATTAATACTGTGTAATTAAGGTGAACTGTAAGCAGAATGTTACTTTTCTTACATCTCTAACCATGTTGGTTGTACTGGTTTTGGTATGTTTTCCTGCAGTGATCTGATGCTCTGAGCCTGTTGTCTTCGTCACAGCGCTTGTCTTTCAGTGGGCTTTTTCTACTGTTTTATACACTCGTGTTAATTTATTACCCTTTGTATTCAGTCTAAACTGTCAAATATGAGACTGCATCTCTACTCCGGAGCCTCACAGTATCAGTCTTCTTGTAATGTAAACAGTCCCTCAGGCTTACTTTTCCCCCACTGCTCTGCAGCCTCTCTAATGACCGAATTCAGCAGAGGGAGGGCTCTGCTGCACTTACCCTCCCGTCACAAAGAGGCAGAAAGAATGGCTCCCCTAATACTCTTCCTCTCCTTAATCTGCCTGTTCCTGTCTTAGCCAAAGAGATGAAAGGCGACGACAGAGAAGTTGGACAGCAGCCAGAGAGGGAGAGAAATGGGTGTACAAACGTGCATGCAGTAGATAAAGTATGTGGAGAAGGAGGATGGTGTGTATGTGTGCATCTGAGAGATGGACAAAAGACAGACAGAGGGAGAGAAGGAGGCCCTGCATCATCTTCATCTGTCTGAATGATCTCCTTAACCCCAGTCTTTGCCAGCCAGCCCCTCTGGATCTCTATATGGGGGTTAAATACGGATTTAGCAAAACCTGAAGCTGCCCTCAAATACGGTGAGCTCTCAGTTCCTCTCTAAAGAGCTTCACTCTCTGTAAGACTTTATCTGTAAGATTTACATTCAACTGCTGACTCGTGACCATCAACGCCCTTACAAAATTATAAAAGTACAGCTACAGAGTATTCTGAATTCAGGCAAGGTACAGAAATAGCTGTCTTGTAAGACAAAACAGGACTGTAGAAAAAAAAAGTGCTTTAACAAAATCCATAGAAGGAGGTGATATGTGCTGTTGATGGCTACCATTACATGATACATTAAAATCAAGATCTGATCTAGTAGAGAGTGACTCCACCAAACAGCCAATACATGAAAAACCTATTGATTAAGAATCATTTGTGATTCTTCTCACATTCTCATTAGTGCTTTTATTGGAATTTTAAGGTGAGTATGTGATCATAAGAAAAGACAATAACATTGATTGTTCAAACAGCTTAACAGATGTTAAGACAAAATCATGATTATTCATTTAACCAACATACTTTCTGTCAGAAACATACGTAAAAGCAGCACAATAGATTGGAGAAATAGCATAGCCTTGAGTCTAGATACCGATTTGTGGTGAAGAAGATGTAGCCTTTCTTATGCATCACCTGTAATAAACTGAAAAGCATGGGGTTGATGAAGGAAGTGGTATCAGCAGTGGGATGAAAGAAGGTAAGATAGAACTGCAAAGACAGAACGGTTGATCGGCTGGATATAAGATGCTATAGCATGAGCTCTAACATTATGGAATAGCAGAATGAAAAAAGAAAGAAATAGTTGAAATTCACCCAACAGAAGAATAAAACATTTGAAAAAGTTACAATTATTTACCATTTGCGAAAACCTTCTGGGGTGATAAAACGTACGTGCACTCTATCGATATAGATGGCTCGCAGAAAATGCTCATTAGTCGTCTTTTTTTTTTAGGTATGTTGATGCATGATATTGAGTCATGTTTATCTGGAATACAAGCACTAAAAATGAGAAGGTAAGAATGAGACCACTCTCCTCCTTCCTCGCCCGACTGCTGCTGTTAAGTCTCAATGAGGACTCTATCAGTGCTCCCCAGCAATTAAGATCTCACAGATCAAAGCAGTCTAATTGAGCTAATCCTTAGAGAACGGCTGTTCTCTCCTCCTCTGTCTATCTCTCGCTTTCCCTCTCTGTCTCTCCCTCACCCCAGTTACTTCCTCCTGACTCATGGCTCCATGTGCTGACTGCGCTTTGATGCTTGACAGCAGTGGGTCTTGGAAATATAAAATGGTGAATAAATGTGCATTAATGGGTAACACTTTAATATCCGTAATTCCAATTTGCACAGGCTGGGGAGCTTGTTTTCAAAGGTCTTAAGACGTAATTGGTGATCATGAAGCTGTAGCCAGTCTATCTGATGCCCACATGCAGTGCAGCTGAGTGCAGAAGTCTAACATAAACGTGTGAAGACCACATCAGCAGAAGAGCATTTAATACAGCATTTGATAACAAGCAATATTCATGTGTCAAAGCCTGCAAAAACAAAAACTTATGATGCAACCAGCCCCTTTTGAGCGTGGTGTGTTGGAACTAGCACAGCCATGAAAGAGAGCGACAGCTTTGAGGTCAATAGTTGTTCAAAGGAGTGTGACGCTGCTAGCTGCTTAGCAGGTAGGTCATTATCACAGAAAAAGCAGAGCATCTGCCTGCGACTCCCAGGGACAGGTTTAACGAGGTGGTGCTGCTTGTCATGGGGGCCGCTTTGGCAGGACCTGTCTCTCTCTCTCTCTCTCTCTCTCTCTCTCTCTCTCTCTCACCCCTCTCCCCCTCCGTCTCTCTCTTTCTCTACAATCCCATCCTGCAGGTCTGCCAAACAGGAGTGTTCATGTTTGCAGCTGCCTCTGTCCATCAGGGGACCATTGTTTCATGGCAGCCTTTTGTGATGAAGGCTTCTGTTTTCCCTCCTTTATTTCTCCCCACTGTAACTTGATTCCCTTTGTTTTTTTTTGAGCCCCTTGTCTCCCTCTCCACTGTCTCACCTCATCTCCCTGTCAGTCTGTCCCTCTCGCTATCTGTCTGTGTGTCTGTTTCTTCTCTAACTGCTTCTTTGTACATGCTATTTGTTTTGGGATTTTGTGCCACCGCCACCACCTGTGCTTTTCCTTCCTCCTGTACATAAGATAACAGTCCTTGGATTGACTAGTGCCACAGTCAGCACTACAACAGACATTGTTTGGCAGTGATAGCAATTACTATTTAGAATTTAAATAGTTCAGTTTAAGTTGTTAATAGCAAAATACAAACTGAAGAGCTAGTTGCTTAAATCACAACAAAAGTAAAACAACAAAAAACACCAATAAAATATATTTAATCACAAAAACTCAGAGGTAGCCAAAAAGTTGTGGTTTAATTTAAGATATTGAGAAATCTATTTCTGTTGCCAACCTAGGTGAGTAGTTTTTATTGAAGACATAGTGCCGTTAGGGT